ATGACAAGGAACAGAATTGCCCCTGAAACAGCAACACAAGTTATCCAGAGAAAAAGTGCCATGTTCATTGGGTTCCTAAACCATTCCTTGCTAATTCTCCAGAGGGAGGTCCAATCAATTTTCCGACTAAAGACCCTATTAAAGTGTTGACGAAAATGATGATTGGTGGAAGAAGGTACAGTCCGTGAAATCTCATCCTTTTCCTCAGCAAACCGCAGAAATTTTGTGGAAGGGGAAGCCAAAGACCACCCAAATTTGGGAAACCTTATTCTTTTGGGAAGAGCAGAGAAACCATCATGGATCCCATCTTGGGGGTTTTCATCACTTATAAGTCCCCTATGAGACGTTGAAATGTGAAGAGGAATATGACCGTTGTCTTTAGCACCATTAGATTCCGTCTTTCCACTAATGTTGTCGCCAATATCAATTGTAACCATTCTTTCTTTCTTTCTTTTCTTCCGAATGCCCAAAAAAATTCAGAACTTCAAACTATTGTAAATCACAGCTATCTTGGTTCTTTATTCTGCAACCACATATCAGAAAGCTGTGAAAACAAGATTGCAATTTCCATCACCCACGTTATGTTCTAGATATTGCAGGGTTGCACTGAGAAAGATCACGATAAAACTCACCCAAAAACCCAAAACTAAGTATTGTATGTTTGTTTTAGCAACCAAATCTGAAATTTGCTGTTAATAAATAAGGGAAGAAAGGTATCTGTGACCCTGACAAAACATATATTCAGAAACCGAAGCAGAAAGCCCAAATAAGCTATCCAGTAAATAAAATTTATCAAATCGAACCGAAGACTAAGACTGTAGAACCTACCCCAAATTGGTGTTACGTTATAAATGTTTTCAATAAACCGAACATACATTTCAAAGCAAAACTCAAAATGAGGACATTGAAAATTAAAAATGCGTACTACAAGGACATGAAAACTAGACTCAAAACTGATATAAGCTTCATTCAATTACATTTACCGTGATGAAGATCTATTCAGCTACGGAAGCAATAAATCTATGTAGAACACAACCACACACACACACACACAGAGATGAATAATTATAACATATATGGAAGATCTAAAAGCCTATAGAACACATACCTCATGCATGGATTGACAGATAAGATGATTGGAAGAGACAAATTGAAGCAAAGCTGGAGCTCCTTCCTTAATCCATAAACAGAAAGAGTTGTTACAAAGCAGCAGCGGCGGCGGCGGCGGCGGCGGCGGAGATTCTATTGCTCTTTTGCTACTTCAAAACTATACTATAGAGGCAAGAGGTTATTCTGTATTTAGCCGGGGGACGGAGTAGAGAGGGCTGTGCTGTGCGGTAGCGTGGTTCTCCGGAAAGGGGTATAGAACTGCGATCTGCAAGAATATACTCGTCTAGTCGCTGGTGTGCCCATTTTGGAAGTGATTGACTTACGAACCAATTAGATGATGCCACGAGGGCAAGGTGGTGGGGTCGGTGCTATTTTCTTCTTGTTGCCACCGACGTCTGTTTACCAGTCAAAGGGATTATTGGCATTGCGACTGATTAACACGACACGGGTATAATATAAAAATAGAGTCTTTCTTAAGCTGTAAGCCTGCAGCATGATACAATTAAGAAATGAATTGAATACGAGTAAAAAAAAAATTGGTGTTAAAAAATATTTAAAATTTTATTTTAGTATATTATTTTGGTCACTTAAAAAACAAAAATATTTTGACATATTTTGAATTCATTTCAAACCGTTTTGAAAATAAAATAAAAAAAATAAAAAATTTAAGAATTATTTTTTTAAAACATTTGTCGAAATATATCAAAATATCTTGAAATAGTTTGAAACATTCTGAAATAATTATGCAAATGCATTGAAATATAACAAAATATTTCGAAACATTACGAAACACTTCGAAATATTAGAATTTTGATTTCATTACTGATCCATTTCGATCTCCTTAAAAACAAAAACGTTTCAAATGTACCCCGGGCCAACAACTCGTTGGTAAAATCAACGAGTAAAATGGATATAAGTAAAATTGATTAGAAGAAATATATAGTAAAATTCGTTTATACACCAATTATATACAATTTATACATGATACGATTCTTTATACATAAATGAGTTAACTAAACTGGAGTTAGGGGTCGTTTGATAACGTTTTTATTATTGCGTCTTCAAAAAATTAAAAACAAAAATAATTTTTTGTCTCTATTTTGTGGTAAACACTGAAACAGAAAACATGTTTAGTAATCATTTTTGTCTATCAAATTATGAGAATAAAAACATAAAACATGTTTAATAACTGCCTCTTTTTATTTTTATTTTTTTTTAAAAAGGAAATAATATATTGATGTAAGCCAAGATTACAAGAAGTAAAGAAGAAAACTTTAAAAACAAGAAGAGCCATAGTTGGCTTTAATCCTTCAAAAGAAAAGATAAAAAAATTCAACGTATGTCAATATTGCCTAGCAAATTAGACCAACTGAAAGGCGCTTGAGGACCAGCTGAGTGGCACACCAAACCACCAAGCAGGAACCATAAACCAAACAGCAAACGACCACAAAGAAAACCCAAAAGGAGTGGAGCAGCTGAAAGGCGCAGAAAGACATGAAAACCAGCTGAAAATCATTAAAATCCAGCTGGTAATCCAGCTGAGAACAAGCTGAACATAACCGAAAAGGCCACAAACATTGCAAACCCAAAACAGCAGAATGGCCAGCAAAACGGGCAAGAACACCAGCTGATAATCCTGTTGGAAGAGCAGTAAAACCAACTGGAAATCCCATAAAAACAGCGTAGCAGCAACCGAACTATTTACGTAAACAGTGCAGGTGAGTAGCAGCAAACAGGCAGGAGCAAGCTGTATAGATTACCCAAAATTTGTATCAGAACATGAGACAGCAGAAGGCACAAAAGGAGTCAGCTGAAGCCAGCTGAAAACCAAGCAGGAAAGTCAGCTGGAAATCAGCTGGTAAACCAAAGAAACACCAGTGGCGAACACGCTTAAACTGTCCAGCAATAACATAGCAACCAGGACCAGTTGAAAGCCGCAATAACCATGAAAATAACTGAAATCTAGATGAGAGTCCAGTTGGAAAATAGCAGCTAAAAGCCAGCACAGTAGTACAGAACCTTTGAAAGCAGCAGCACCATTAAAGAAAGCCAAAGAAGGCACAAAATCATTAAGAAGCCTAGGTGAGATCAGTTGAAAACCAGCTGAGATTCCAGCAAATAAACCCCAAAGAACAGTGCATAGCATCCCAAAACAGTAAGTCAAGCAGATAGAATGCCTGATGACCCTCACAAATCAAGATGAAATTGTTGAAAAGGGGAAAAGCCAACAAAAGTTGGCTTTAATCCTTCGACAGTAATAAACCCTTGAAGTCAATAATAGGTAGAACCATTTATAGGCCCATTGCCCATACTCTGCCTCAGCACCAGTACCACAGAATCACAGAAAAAGACATCCACAGCTCCCAAACTGATACTGGACATAATACAGATATTCAACACTGCCCAGAGCACCAAGCAGCAAATGCACATCCACATTAACCACAACATCATCCAATCCCTCGCCTGTGCTCACTTTCAATCACCTTCAATCTAGCTGAGGCCATCATGCTTTGATCCTGTTGTAAAAGTAATCTACCAGTGATAGGCAGCATGTCATTTTCAGAAAAATCAAAATACCTACCAGACTGCACTGCATAAGAGGCCAGGAAATCTGCAACTCTATTGGCCTCCCTATAAATATGCCTAATCTGAAATTGCATCTTCCCAAGAATATCTAAAATTTGTTCCATATAAGTAGATAATCTCCATGGAACATCAACAATACCCAAGACCATGTTAACCAACACTTGAGAATCAGATTCCAATACCAGGTGATGAGTATTCAGACCATAATGCATTATCATTTTCAAACCATCCAGCAAGGCCAGACATTCTGCTTTCATGTTTGATCCAATCCCATAAGCTGCAGCTGCTGCTAACAAAATATGCCCCTTAGAGTCCCTTAAAATCATCCCTCCACCAGATAAACCATTATTTTTGGATGCCCCATCAACATTTAATTTCACCTGGTTCACAGTTGGAGGTTCCCATTTAATCCATTTTACCTCGTGATGACAGAAAAGGGTGGAACAATCCCAAGGTCCTGCAACAATTCATTTCAAATTCTACTTCAAGTTTTATCCTAAATATGCTTTATAATACCTCATTTTTTGTTTTCAAACAAATCAACACTTTATTTCATGGAAAATAATTTACAACCATGAATTAAAGACTTTCAACAAAGCACCTATCTGCACCTTACTGCAATTAATCCCCAAATCAGAAAACCTAAATAAAAAACAAATAGACGTTATATTACATCAAAATACAAATCCAAACATTCCTTAAACCAAAATATCTACTACTTCATCAAAGAACATCTAAAGAAAGATAGTTACATTACATAAGGCAATAACCACATTCATACATCATAGTGTCCAACATATAGCCCCTAAGTTCAGACATTAATAGGTCATATCACTTAACTAAAAATCCAATAATTAATACAAATACCACAAACAATAATGCACAAATAAAAATCAAATTACATCCACAACAAGCAAGCATGAAAATAGTAATTCATTTCTACTCTCTCCATCTTGACTGGGTTTGATTAATCACATGCTGTTCATTTGCAATTGTGTTATACTTATCAATCCATATGAAACAATTATCATGCTCACGCCATCGTGGACAACGATAAAAAGCTCGTCCATTATTTCTTTTGGTCCTTGCGACCAAAATATTCATGTTCCCGGATCCACACGAACATGAAGGGCCAATAAGTAGTATTATGTAGTATAAGTAGTATAAGTATAAGGATATGGATCTGTCATTGAGCTATTGGATTCATAGTATAAGTGTAAGTAGTATTAATCATCCTATAAGTAGTATTAATCATTCTGATTTGAGCTATGGGATTCATAGTATAAGTATAAGTAGTATTAATCATGTCCCCTGAAGAGATTGCTAGTGGTCTAATTGACATTTCTGCTATCTATGAATCTTTGAATGAACCTGATCAGGCACTTAAATTGCTTCAGAGGGCCTTAAAGGTATATGGCAATGCACCTGGTCAACAAAGCACAATTGCAGGAATTGAGTCTCAGATGGGGGTCTTGTACTATATGCTGGGAAGTTACTCTGATTCTTATAACTCTTTCACAAGTGCAATTTCAAAGTTTCGGGCAATTGGAGAGAAGAAATCTGCTCTCTTTGGTATTGCTCTGAACCAAATGGGACTTGTCTGTGTGCAACTTTACGCAATAAACAAAACTGCAGATCTCTTTGAAGAAGCAAGGACTATTTTGGAGACTGAATGTGGACCTTAAGGTCATTTGGAAATAAATTGGTTGTGCCATTTAGATAATAATTATAGTACATCTAGCAACAGTTTCTAGGAATGATGTAACATGAACCTCATGCTTATTGAGGGATTAATTAGTTGAACTCAAAAACTATAACATAACTCCAAAAGATTGTATTTTTTTTTAAAAGATCAATCCTAACTTTTCTTTTTTTAAACAATATTAAAAAGAATAGAAATAGCAAAGATTATTAATGATGGATCTACTAGAAAAAACCAATCATTTAACATCATGACTGAAATTTATAAAAATTGAAAAAAAATTAAACAGAAGGTCCAAATCTGATGAAGATTATAGTTACAAAATTGAAACAGTATTAAAAAGAAATACTTTTTTTTCCTTTTAAAATAGAAAGACAACTAATACTTACCAGTTACAACCAAAGTATGCCAGTCCAATCCCAAAGGCCATTTCATTGGCCTAAGAGAGAGAGAGAGACAACTAGTTCAGCATACACACTGCTTTTTTTTACTCTTTAGAGCTCTGTACCATAGTTAGCTGGCTACCTTATCCTCCTACAGTCCTACCCTCCCTCTAGCTCAGTGTTCTTTCCTTTTCTAAAAAGATAGCTATAACTCTGTCTGTCACAAAACTGCACAACGAAGCTCCATCATTAGTTTCTTTGGCTTTTAGTTTTTCATTTTTGTTATAATCTCTCGAGCCTCGAGATATACATTTTATGCAGGACTAATGATGCAATCGAAATCTTAGTGTGGACCTCGAACCAAAGTGGCCACGGCAAAGGATTTCCGAATCTAATGAATGGTTTGCAAAGAAAAAGACATCAAATTATCTAATTTCGCTTGGCATTAGCTTTCATATTCTGAATAAAAAGAACATCCATTGAAAAGCAGAAGCAAAATCACTCAAACAGAAGATTTTCCCCAACGTTGAGAAAACAAACGCAGAACCACTCAAAAAATTTAAACATATTTTCTGAGATAGCAAAAGCAGAAAAAAAATGGTCATTGGAGCACAAAACCGTACAGATCTATGTACATAAAAAAATTCAGATAAAAAAAAAAGGGATTTTGGGTATGTAATGTACAGATCTATATATATACATACAAGTAATGGGGTTACATTACCTTCTTCGTCTTCGGCTGTGAGTCTTCTTCGTGTGAGGCTTCTTCGTCGTCGATCTGTGAGTGGAAGAGAGAGAGAGTCGCTGAGAGAGCTCCGGAGAAGAGAAACGTACCGAGAGAGAGACGTTACTTACCTTAACAGAAGAGAGAGAGTGGCCGAGACCGAGTTGCAAAGGGAATGAGTTGTGCGAAGAACAAGATTGGCTGAGACTATATATACTCTCTCATATTAAGTGAGATTTGTGGCTAACAAGAGTCGAAGGGGAGACCTTATTTATACAAAAACGCGTGTTTTTTATTTTGTGTGTTTCCTCGAACAAAAATTTTTTCTTCCCATTTTTTAGGTCTTTGCCTCCGATACAACTAAAACAAAACAATACACAAACATATTTTTGTTTTCATTTTGGACAATTTGAAAATAAAAACACAAAATTCAGGACAAAAACAATTATCAAACATAGCCTCAAAGTATGAGATTTGTGTTATTTTAGTCTCTAATATTTTAATTATATCATTTTACTCCCTAAAATATTAAATGTATTTCTATATACTCCCTCAAACAGATAACATCCAAATTGTTAATAATTTTTTATTATAAACTTGTCGTGTAATATCTAAATATAGACAAAAAATAATTTGAATAACTTTTGACCAAATTTCTATTCAAATTTTGGTAAAAAAAATTACATAAATTACACAATTTTAATCATAAACTTTTCAAATTTTGATCAACAATTATCAATATTACACATTTTTTATCAAGAGGTACCCAAATTTAGTAAAGAGCTACCAAAATTATTTTTTATCCATATTTAAATATCACATAACAAGTTTTATGATAAAAAATTGTTAGTAATTTAAATCTTATTTACTTGAAAAATCACATAAAAATATATTCAATATCTCATGAACCTAAATGACGTAATTAAAATATTAAGAATCAAAATAAGACAACTTTTATACTTTAAGAACTTCTAGTACAATTAACCTTACATAAATTAATAAATAAATTAAATATTTTTTTGACATAAACCCACTAAAATCCGAAACCAACGTAGGAGGACTAGAAGGTTGTTCAACTATCTCAACACACCCAACACCAAAATATACGAGAGCACTATATTTGTAACTCAAACTCGTTTAATACAACCACCAAAGTACCATGCCAAGGCCCGCAAAATAAGTTCCAGATATGCAGTCAACAGTATTTTTTATAAATGATAACAATATGCAACCAAATGAACAATTCTTTGTGCAACTATTAAGGGCGATTCGATAAACCAACCAACGAGGGCATTCAATTCAACCACATAACACTCTGAATTAGTGAATTTAGCAGTCGGGGCAACTTTTTAGCACATAAAAGCATCCAGCACAAGACACTGTGCCCTTCAATCCAATCAATTCAATCATTTTCTTCATAGATTCTTTAGTTCTTCGCACATATAAGTTCGTCCCCAGCCACAATTAGGGAACAAAACTACATTCCAATCTCACAAACTCACAAGAAATATTTAAGCAATCGCAGTGAAACACCACCATCCAATTCAATGCAATAATTATAAACAAATGCAGATCAGTGTTCCAATAGCAGTGGATTCAAGTAAGATCATCCTCTTCCAGCTCTTTAGCCTTCACTGCTTCCTTCACTCTCAACAGAAGAGATGTCTTCCACGCATCCTATAGAGGGAAATAAGAAAGCAATATCAGGAAATTGTGGTATTCAATAATTAGAACAGGTAGCCAGAAAAACGCTAATCTAACATAACCACCATTCAAGTTTAATCATTACCAATTTCAACCTTGATTATGTATATAAACAAGACGGATGTGACAGCAGCATTCAGTACCATCCTCAGAATAGACCGGAAAAGTAGTACCTTAACTTACTACAACAAGCTTGAATCTAAACTAAAGTAGTTTGGGTTGCTTATTTAAATCATTGTTTTCCATTCATCCATAACCATAACCCATACAATTGTCATCCACCACCAAATCCCAAAGCAATCATGTCTCTCCTCATATCCTCATATCATTGGCTCATGTTCTTGTAATATTCTCACCTTGGAACCTTTAAGTCATGTCGAATCGCTCAATACCAATTTCTTGAGGGGAATATATTGCATAAGGCCAAACCAGTGAAAAATTGCCAAGTTTCTGGATGCCACTGAAAATTCCTCACAGCTGCATTCATTTCTTGATAAATCTCCTCCTTTATTTTTCATCCAATTTAAAATCTTCTTATAGGCCACAAACATTTTGGGAAATAAATGAAGATATTGTAAGCAATAATTACCTTTATTTTTAAATCTTCTTTACAGAACACATGCCTCTAACGTAGGGATGGAGGAAGACCAAAATTAACTTTAATTGAAATACTAAAGAAAGATATGACACCCTATGGTTTAACTAAAAACATTTCCCTTGATAGACCTCAATGACGAAAAAAGATTCATGTAACTGACCCCAAAAACATTGGAACAAGGCTTTGTTGAGTTGAGTTGTTGAGAACACATGCCTTTTTTCAGCCACAGCATTTTTCTTTCGTTGAGTGTAACTTGACTCGCTTAAAACTTATCCCTACTAAAATGCTTTTTGCAAGATTGTAAACAGTTACAACAGTTTGAGATCATATTGGCATATGAAGACTTCCACATGGTACTACAACCTATGTATAGACACTATGGACTAGCATATAAGAAAAAAATGAAATTAAGGTTTGTAAATAAGGAGTTTTAGCTTTCTCAAGTCACACAAACCAGAAAAAGCCACAGCAAAAAAAAAAAGGACGAACAAAAACAAACCTCCTCAACATGAAACTGTTATCAGAATCCATTAACTTAAATCTAAAATATCCCAATCTCTGTCTCTAAATCCGCAGCCAACTTATTCACCCAAAAATGCTCCAAACTAAAAGGAAGATGACATCAAGAATCTCAATTTAAAAATGATATCAATTTACCAGCTGGGTCATGCTATCAAATTCCTTGACAGCATTGGTGAACTTTGCAACATCTTCCTCGTCAATTGCAGCAGCCAAATCCTGCCAACATACAAGCAATCTTATCTTTCAAGCAAAATTTTTGTATGATAATAAAAAACAAATATACAATAAAAGACTATCAACCACCGCCAAAAAACTCAATAATTAAGTATAAGGAACTGATAAAAAACATTCAAAACTCGAACTATGGACTTGAAATGAAAGATAATCCATTTCCAAGAAACTAGACAGTGGAAATTCGCCATTACAAAAGGAAAAAAACACAGAAATCAAAATCCACATCAGACATGACAAACAATAACATACCGCCAGCAATCTGTACTCACGTGTCCCTGAAAAGGTTGGATCCAGGTCCTGCAAATGCAAATGCAACAGTTACTCAATAGACATCACACACAATGTATATACAAAATGCCAGACAAGAACCAGCCTAAAACCTGATATCGCTCCAATGCATTAGTAACCGCAACAACATCGCCTTTACAGAGTTGGCAAATGCCAGCATTAAGAAGATGTCCTTTGACTCCATACTTCAGTAAGTTATTGTTAAGAGAGTGGCGTGCTATCTCTTCGTATATCTCAATCGCTGGCTGGTATCTGGAAAAATATTGTGAAAACAGTACATCCCTATAAGCACACTTACTAATTCTTCATCAACATTTTACATCAATGAATGGCTGTGACAATAATGTTTAATCAAACTAGATTTCTTTTTGGTGTCACATTCTTGAGCATTCCTACACTTTTTTGATACAATCCATATGAAACTCAAGAAGAGATAAATTCAAAGATATGAAGACTATGGAATTGACTTTCCATCAAGACAAAGAGTAATATGGAACCTTGCATTACTGGATTTAAGTTTTATTGAGTTAGTTTGAGTTACTTTGTTGACATTAGTATTTCAGGTGTTATTTTTATATTTTTCAAAGTTAAGGGTATTTTGGTAATTTTTAAATTTGCTGGAATGGGTCATAGTCCAACTTGTGGAAGGTCTTATGGATCAAATTCTAGTTTGGGATATTCTAGAATTTGGAGTCCTAATTCTAGTTTATGTTAGTTTCCTAATTTTAAGTAGAGTCTTTGAAGTCCTAGAAACTTTAGAATTCTAATCTTTTTAGGATTAAGAGATACTCGGAGGTCTATATATAGAGCTATAATACAATAATTTAATAGAGATATATATTTTTCAGAATTTTCAGCAATTATATGCTTCTAGGATTGTGTGATGCAATTCAAAACCCTAGATGTGATGCCTAAGAAACCCTATGAGTGATTCATAGTTTTCGACTTGATATATTCATAGTTATACCCTTAAACGTCATCTACAAAGCCCTATACCTTTCCCCTTCAACCTGTCTAACCCTAACACACAAGCTGACACAATTATACCATTTTCAGGTCCACTGCTGTCCTACATCATTTTTCCTCTTTGAAATCAAGTGACTCTGAATGATAAAGGATCCTCTATGTTCTTACTAAAGATTACTTTTCAATAATTGTGAAAAAAATTGTAAAGCGAACAAGCTAAACTCATACTACAAAAATGGAAACTTCATTAGTATAACTTAGTTGCTCGGATTATCAAAACAGAAGACCACCAAACTGAATTATCAACAAGAGCAGCAAACCACATAACTCAAATTATTTTCAACGATCCCACAAAGATTTAAAGCACTCGAAAAAATTATTCACAATATCAGCCATAAACAAGTGCATTAACTAATGGCTTCGAGATACTAAATGAGAAACTTACACATCCATGGATACTTTTAGATTTGCAGAATTAAAGAACTGCACCACAAAATTGATTAGTTTCCCAAAACAAGATAGGATAGGCAAATTATTAGCGCCACATTTAATTATCTGTCCAAAAATATCATCTACGTGCTCTGGTAGCATTTCATACGGAAAAACTAGGTTACAACATATTTTATACATGCACTACATAGTGAACCTGGAATAGGTCATATAACACCACAAAACACAACAGACGTATCTACACAGAGCATACAGGCTTACCGTTCAAGTTGAGCAGAGAATTGTGCAATTTTCTGCTTGCATTGATTTGCAGTTGTTGTTACTTCTTCACTTTGGAATAGATCAGCTGCCCTTTCATAGAAAACAATAGACTGCTCCAAGTTTTGTTCTTGCTCGTACAATTCGGCAATTTCCTGCACTTAAAGAAAGCAATTACAAGGCATTTTCTTCTATAAATAGGTTCATATTATCCCATGCATTAATTAACTAAGTCTTCTGCTCAAGAATAACTATGACGCTGATTGTACGGTTTGAAAACATTGCAAAGAAAAGGTACATCTAACACAGCATAATACTCTGACAAAAAAAATTTATAATAAGAGTCATAAGACAGCATAATGCAACTATAAATTACTAAAGCATAGAGAACTCAGTAAAGAATTTGGTTGCATGGATCTAGCAATTTAACATATTCACTGACAAGTCAATGTACCTTATAATATCTCGCAGACATATTGAGCCTTCCAATATCCAAAAATATATTTATAGCTTGCTCTAGGCAAGATATGGACTCTGCAAAGAATCCAAGGTTACATCAACAAGAAATTCCACAAGCCATGAAGAAGAAATTAGTGTGGTATGTTAGTGAAAATGCAAATTGATGATGATGACAAAAGTAGATCAAATTTTCCAAAGACGATTTACATGCAAATCCTACAACGGTCTATTGCAATACTAGTTAAGAGAAACATAAAGATCCAATCACGAAGAAGCTGTAACGAGTAGATGACAAATGACAAATGACAAATGACAAGAAGAGGGTTAGATAGAGTGAAATAAAATAAATAATGAGGTAAGCAATTTACATACCTTTTGTATTTGTTTTCTTATAGCAATGAGCAGCATCAGCATAAGCATTGGCAGCTTCATGTTTGCTATCCAACTGTTAACATACAGTCAACAGGGGTCATCCAAGCTACTAGTACAATAGAAATCCAAGGACAACACATATCAGAAAAAAAAAAGGCCTAGATACATCCACAACAAGTACTTACCTTTACATGACAGTTAGCCAATTTGACATACACAGCTCCAGCTTGATCCCCTAAAAAACCACAAGTTGTGATAAGTAATTGACACCACACAGACATATAATGCTGCCACATAATATCTAAAAAAGAACATTATCCTTTGATTCACTGGGTGATTAAAATGCTCAAGTGAAATGAAACGTTGTTAAAAATATAAAGCCTGTGGCTTTGAAAGCCGTAGCCAAACTTAAAATAGATGGGAAAATGATTTATTGAGTCAAGTTGAACTTTGATAACATTATGAATTTACGAAACCTAATAGCAAAATGGATGGTTCTATATCATTTATATAGAAGAGCTGAAAACTTAGAAGATACCAAAGTGAATCAATTGTAATTTCTCTACCAAAATCCAAGTATCTAAATCTAGATTTTTTTAGGGTGGTAAACCTAGGTTCCAATAAATTAATGGCAAGGATAAACTAACAAACCACCACACCAGAAACCCAACCCCCCCCCAAAAAAAAAATTTCCAAAATGCTTCAAAACCTAATTCACCCTGGTCCCATGTTTGTGTTGAGTAGCTTGGTAATCAAATCTATGTTTATTTTCAATAATTTATTGAATATTTGGGTCCGACCCGACTAGTCGCCGAGTACAAGATCCACCCCACACGAGCTACAAGCCCAGACTAAAGTCTGTTCGGATAGCCGAAGGGGAAGACTCGAACCTATAGCCTTCATTTGAAATGAGCTCCTAGCAAACTTGTCTATCCGTGGGGTTTGATAACAAAATGTCGGTAGCTCCAAAACGACTTAATAACCCCCATATTCTATCTACCAAAACAAAAACCTCCAACAATTAGCACACAATCAATTCCCAGCCTCTTTACAACGACTTCAGGTCAACTCAGAAATTACAAATTAGATCAAAAATCAAAATACAAAATCCAAACGTATCTAAAAAAAAAAGCACTCGATCAATCAACCATTTCAACTTGATCGTCAAATAACGTCCGATTCAATTCAATCCAACCCTAAATCGCATCATCCATCAAATGTAAAAAAAAATAGCACAAAAGTTCAGGTTAACCAAAAGATTACTATCGAATCAAGTAATTCGAAATGATGAATACAAATACAGGCATATATATCTATACATAATTACATGATTTGGCGAGTTTGAAGGCATTAGCAGCTTTATCGAACAAATCAGCGGCGTCTTCGTATTTGGAACCGAAAAGACCCCAACCGCTGAGCTTCTTCTCGGCTTTTCTCTCGAATTCTTCTGCTCTCGCTATCTGATCGGTCATCTTTGGAACTCTCTCTTTCTTCACACGGTGCTGCAGAGAAGAAATGGTTGAAGAACTCTGAACTTTGACAATCGAAAAGTAAAAAGCGGTTGCCAAGTGTTTATCGTCCTGGGAAAACCCAAGGCCCAGTGTTTTGACTTTTGAGGCTTAGTCCGAGTTGTCAATTGGTTTCGGCCCAAACATGAACACTAATAATTTGGGTTTTTTTTGTAAGTTAAGTCCACATTTGTGGACTTTTGGGAGAAAGACATGTGCAGGCTCGTTAAAATGTAATTCGACACGATGAATTGACATAAATTGACACAGAATAAGCAGGTTTGGATGAGACGTTAACGGGTTAGGGTGATAAACGAATTGACCTGTTTAACACGTTTAATAAATTAATCGTGTTCGGGTGAGACATGTTAACTCGTTTATAATTCGTTTACCCATTTAAATAAAATTAATAGAATAATAAATTAATAATTATTTTAAAAAAAAATAACCATAATTTTTTTTTTTAGTGACAGTCACACAAAAAATATATAAATTTATCTTTCCCTAACCCTAATTCTTTTTACGCTGAAGCCTTGTTGCACCTCTACTATTCTACTCATCCCCCTCTCTTTCTCTTTCTCTTTCTCTTTCTCTCTCTTGCTCGACAGTAACTCAGTGAGCTGTGAGCAGTTGGTGTCTGGGACTCTTGGGTCGGGCGGAGTCGCTGTCCACAGAGACTTCGAGCAAAGACATCTCAGATCTTAGACAAGAAAAAACAGGTAAAAGGTTTTTTTTCTTTATTTTTGGTAATTAAGAACTCTTCTCCAATTCAATATTTTCTTCCCCAAACCCTTGTCTATATATTCTCGTTGTCCACTCATTTCCAACCCTTCTCGTCGTATCTCCCTCTTGCAATCAAAGTCATTGCTTAAAGCGACTCGGAGAGAGTCTGCAATCATGTTGGTCTATGAAGATTTGTTTACTAGTAAATCCTTTTTTCCTTAATAAATATGGCATACATGCAACATGTGTTTATATGATACATGATTTGATTAGTCGATTTTAGGTTTTATGTGAATTTAAATCTTTTTATTTTGTATGTTCTTTGTTATTTATATTTAGATCTATGTTAAACTGTTTTTGTTTTTGTGTGATTTGTGATGTTTTAATTTTTTTTATTTATTATAGATTCGATCTTTTATCAGGTTTTGAATATCTGGGATTGGGGATTAGATTATTATTTGTACATGATTTGATCTGACTGTTTATATTGAGTTAATTTGAATTTTTACGTATAATTTATAATTGTAACTTTTATAAAGGTTGATTTTTTTTGTTTTTACTTTTGTTATCTATTCTGGTGTTGGGTGTTCTGGGTTGTTGAGAAAATACAGGGAAGATCAGGGGTGGGTGTGTATGTAGGTATGTATCAGTTTGTGTGTTGTGTGTGTTGGGAGGTGATATCAATTTAACTCTATTTTTTTGCCTTAAACAGATGGATTCTTCCGTATACAATATTATAGTTTTTAATGAAGAAGATCAGGTCGGACATGAATATAAGGTAGATGCAGCTCCAACAAGTACATCTACAGAAAAAGGTAAATCTAATCATAAACGATAAAAAACTTCAATAGTATAGAAATACTTTACAGAATTAAATGAAAAATATCCAGATAGCAAGAAGCGTTCTGCATATAATAGTTATGGTATCAAATATATATGTGATTCTAGTCATGGAACTAGTAATATGTACACTCACATGAAAAAATGTGTGAAAAAAGACACCGAAAAAATTGGACAATTACTTCTAAGTCAAGGTCAAGAATTTATGCTAATGCAATCCACAAAATTTGACCTTGAAAAGTTTCGTGAGTTAGCGGTTGAGACAATACTTAAACTTGATTTACCATTTTGATTTGTCTAATATGAGGGTATTAGAGCAATATTCAAGTATGTTTATGAGAATATCAAGATGCCTTCTAGGAATACCGCAAAGTCAGATGTGTTAAAAATGTATAAGTGAGAGAAGGATAAACTTAAAATTGTGTTGAGTTCTTTCCTGAAAGAATTTGTTTGACATCTGATTTGTGGACTTCTATATCGACTGATGGATATGTTTCTCTCACAGTCCATTATGTTGATCTAAATTGAAAATTACAGAAAAAAATTTTAAACTTTTGTCTTATTTTAAAATTTTAAACTTTTGTTTCTCCCCATATTGGTATTGTCTTGTCTGAGAAAATTTATACATTTTTTATTGATTGGAGAATTGAAAGAAAATTACTTTTTTTGACTTTGGATAATGCTTCTAGTAATTATTGTTTTGTTGAGTTGTTGAAGAGACAACTTAACTTTAAAAATGCTCTCTTGAAGGATGGTAAATTCTTCCATGTTCGGTATTGTACACATATTCTTAATTTGAAAGTCTAAGATGGACTTAAAGAAATCGATGAATCAGTGATAAAAATTTGAAAAAGCATTGAATTCATGGAAAGAACAGTAAGTTTGATTCTATTTTACTAGTATTATTTTCTCATTATCCTAATTCATGTGATCATTAATTCATTTATGTTTTGTTGTGCTTAGTTGTAGATGATTCTAGTGATGATTCGAAAGGGAAAATAGATAATGATGTTTTCGATCAAAATATGAAGTCTAATAAAGCTAAATCCGTTCAATGTTCTAATTTTATATCTATCATTAATTATGACTAAGAGGTATTGAAATATGTAACTTGTAATGTCAAGTTTTTGTTACTTATCTAGTTATGAGTCTATTTAATTATTAATATTATATAATATTTCATTTTAATTTGTGTAGGGCATTAGAATTTGATTGTTGAATCTGCTCGTTGTCGTGGAGGTGGAGATTTGATCTCTTTCACGGGAAGATTGTGGTTTGTAATATGATTGTTATTTGGTGTAATTATGTTATTTCAGGTTGCATTTATGATTTGTAATATGATTGTTAATGGAATTTGGTTATTTTGGATTGTACTTTGTACTTTGTACCTTGTAATATGGTGTAATATTTTTAAATATTAAATTTATTTGTGTTAGTTTGTTAGTTTTATAAAATTATGTAACATTTTTAAATAAACAGGTAAATGAGTCAAATGAGTGGTTTATCGTATTAACCCAACCCTACCCAACCCAACTCGTTTAAAATTAGACGTGTTAAACGAGTCGTGTCATGTTATCCATTTATTAAACGGTTCGTATTCGTGTTTAGATTTTTTACCCGTTTATTATATGTGTCGTATACGAGTTTACATATTTTTCATCCATCACTCGTTTAACTCGACATATTTGTCACCCCTAAACATGTGTACGCCTTTTGAGATTTAAAAGGACAATTAAAAGCATAAAAATTAATTTATTCTTAATAAAAATAAAGAGTTATATTACAAAATGAACAGTAACAACAATACGATAATAATAACAGTGACACAGTAATAACAAGACAATAACAGTAACGACACAGTAATAGTAACAGTAACATCGACACAATAACAATAATAGTCACTGTCACAGTAACACGATCACATTAACAACAATGCTTGTGTGGTTGGATATAAAGGACGATGGCTAAAAATGGAGGTACTGTAAAAGATGGCATGACTAGAACATGGAGTGGTATTGGACTAGATAGGAACACGATCACAGTAATAACAACACAATCATAGTAACAACCACAGTCATTGTCAAAATTCTACGGAATTAGACTGTAATGTGAAGTAGACAACTACACGATCACAGTATCAATTACAATCACTGTCAAAATTCTATCAAATCAGACAGTAACGTGAACTAATCCGTTATATGATCATAATAACAGCCACATGATCGCAATAACAGTAACAATCATTGTCAAAATTCTACAGAATTATACATTAATGTGAACTAGACAACTATACGATTACAGTAACAATCACATGATCTTAACAACAGTTACAACCACTAATAGAATGGTTCATAAGTTTAAACTGAAAAAAAATAACATAATTTTCTCATCTATATCAAAACAAATCTAAGATCAATATATCAAAACAATCAAATAAAAGTGGAGATCTAAAAAATCTTAGCACAAAAAAACAATAAAACCCTTAGCTCATGCCTTTTATCAAACTCCATTTAGACAAAACAAATAAATTGAAGAATGTCACCAAAACAAAAATAAACTAAATAAAATAATTTAAATTGTTGTAGCGAAAAACTCATATCAGTTTGTGGGGGCAACAGAAGGTAGAGAAATTAGGTAAACAAATCCTAAAACTAAGAAAAAGTTGTTGAGTTCACTGATTGTTTTTCTCTGACAGTGTTTGGTCTTTGTTCTTTAGATCTTGATTCCAATATGGTAGCAATAGCGGAGCAATAGATCAAGGTGGCGGCCGATGAAGCTAACTGATATGGAGGGTCAAAAGAGTGTAGGTTCCAAGGACCGAGAAATATTTTCTTTTCAATTATGGAAGCAACATTGACATCCCATTGTACTTGAGGATATAATAGGCATTTTTAAAAATATAAAACAAATGGTTGGATCTAGTTACTAAAAATTACACATAATATGTCATTATTTACGCAATAAGTTCGAACCTGTCCTTAATGTTAAAAGAATTCCCTATACCATACTTGGTTCCAATTTTCACTAATAATTAATTTTAGGGGTTTTTCACACTTGGTGCCCTGGAAGATTTTAATTTTTTTTTATTTTATACCATTAAAAATTAAGGGTGTGTTTGGTTAGTTTCTGCAAAACAGTTTTTTATTCTCAAAATTTCAAAAACACCTAAAATTTGTTTGTTTAGCATTTTTGTTTTCTAAATTTTGGGAAAAAAAATGAGAATTGAGTCAAAGAAACAAAAAACAAGTGTAACTTATTTTCAAAGTTTTTTTTGAAAATTTTGGAAACAAAGAGAACAATTTTTGATATTCAGATATGTGTGTATATATATATATACATATTTATATATACGTATACATATATATGTATATATATATAAATATATGTTTATATATATATATATTATATCTATATAATAAAATAACTTATAATTTAAATCTCAAAAGATAAACAAAATGACTTTTGCTATTCGCGGTTGAGATCACTTTAAATTTTACTTTAAAGCTAATCTAATGACTAATATTAGTATCCTAAATTTAATAGGAAAAATAGGTATCTCAGAGTGTTTGGAGTGACTTTTTAAAAGTATTTTTACAAATTATTTCTCATAAATACTTTTAAAAAAAAATAGTGTTTGAAATCGTCCCACCACAACCTCTACTAGCACCACTACCACTGCTACCACCGCCACTACCACCACTGTCGCCGCCACCAATACCACCCCCACTACCGCCACCGCCACCACCATCACCACCACTGTAGCCACAACCACCGTCGCCATCACCACCGCTATTGCTGCCACCACGGTCATTACCACCCACCACAACCATCATTGTTTCCTACCACCACCACTGCCGCCCACCACTTCTCATTTTCACTACAAAACTTAAATTCCTTTATCTATTTCTCAATATTTGTGATTTGATTTTGGATATAAATATAAATATATTTATTGTTTATCATTTTGATTACTCTGTGCCTTCAGGCACAGACAATAACTAATATATATATATATATATATATATATATATATATATATATATACCTTTTTAAAATTTTTAATTAATGTTTGAATTACTGTTTAAATATATATTTAGGCTGTTCAAACAGGTTTTACTATTTTCTATATTGTAAAATTATTTTTGAAATCATCTAACCAAACAAGTTTTTTATCTCAAAAAATATTAAAATCACTTTCTTAAAACTCTTCTCAAAAATTATTTTCGGATACTGTTTTTTGAAACGCAAACCAAACAGGCCCTAAATTTTTTACATTGCACCCTCAATGTATTCAAAGTATTACAATGTGACAATTCTGTTAGCTTCTGTTATTTTTTTCTTCAAAAATCAACGCATTAATATTGACGAAAAAATTAATGGAAAGCTAACAGAAAGGTAAAATTATAATTTTTTAATATATTAAGGGTGCAATATAAAAAATTTAATCTTTGAAAGTACAAAATAAAAAACTTGAAATCTTTTCAAAGTATAAAATACAATTCACCATAATTTTAGATACACTTTATAAATTCAACTTAAAATTGATACAAAATTAACTGATATAAGGTTCCACTTCAACTATTGCTCATTTGCTCTCCCCTTCCCTAAAGTTTAAAAAAAAATAAAAAATGTACATTTAACTTTTATGTATTTAGGTGATCAACGGGTTAAGCTTGTTAAATAAATTAGTTGGCAGAGAGTCTGACTAAAAGATAATTCGACTTCACTAAACAATTATGAATAGATAGGGTATTGGTTGAGTAAAATTTGACAAGACATAAATAAAATACGATATAAACTATTGTTAGCTCTTAGGCCTAGTATTTTGATGTGCTTGGTTGTATACTTGTATTTGAGCACAATGATTCTTTTTATAATGGAGGTGTAGGAGAAGCAATTGATAGACAATCTTACTTTTATTTTAAAAATATTAATATTCACATAAGAATACACGATCTTTTATTACTATATGTGTGTGTGTGTGTATATATATATATATATATGTGAAAGAGACAATTTTAATATTAGTCAAACTCTTAAAATTTAAGAGATATTAATTTTCAAAATTTTTGTAATCAAATATAACTACTAAGTATATTTTATACAATAAAAATTAAAATAAATTTCACATTAAACAAGTTTTCTTGGTGAACTTATTTCCAAATAAACACACAACAGAGACCAACCTCCAAATTTCCCAAGTTTATTTGCAGGATTTCACTATTGGTTGGATAACATCTTTAGTCGGACATACCCTGATGTGATTAGTGCCACAATTGTTGTAGCTGTGTGCAAAAAATTGTCAAAATAAAGAAAAATAGGTCATATTCTTTTTTTTTTTCCCGATGAAATTCCATTGAAGTTGTCGCTGCTAACTTGGGCAGCGTTTTGGCCCTTTTGGGTAGGAATATCATTTAAAATGTCATATTTGAGAACCAATTTGATACGATTGAAAGATGAGGGGCCAAAATAAAACTGATCAGGAGCTAGCCTCATATCTCAGATCCTGGAATCTCTTCAGCAGATTCGATTTGAATCTTTCGACTTCAACATCCTCTGCTGAATCTGGGGTGGATGTGATGAGTGAGATTGCTCCAGCATCATGCAGAGCTCCAACAGCTTCATCTGCAGTATTAGGAGATATCAATAATGTTAATGACATACCATGTCTGATAAAGAAATTAAAGAGGAATCCAACTTCATTTTGCCTTCTGATCAATTTGAAAATGAATCTGTAGGTAAGGAGAACACAATTGAACTACAATTTGTTCCGAGGAATATAACAACATTTGAAATCAACAATTTAATCTACGGCCACATCAATTTTCAACTGCCAACATCATGAGTTTGAGTTGTACTACATAGATACTTCAAGAATTGCATGAGGAGAAGTGTCCAACCAACAACCAGACTGAGCATCCATAGCATGAAAGTCTGACCTGAACGTGAGAGAGCAAGAAGAGCCTTCAAAGCTTCCTTCCTTGTACGATCATCTTTAGCAGCCCCCAACATATTCAGAAGCCCTTGAGCCCCACCCATCTCCACTATTTTCATCCTTCTTTCATCTATGGATCAAAAGGGGGAAATATCTTTAAGAATACAATGTTTTCTAGTGGAGCAAAGTGCAAGCACAATTTTATCATAGTTCCCTTATGGGAAATAAGGAAAGAGGCTGGAATGAAAAACTTAAAAGGAAGACAACTAAAATGCATCAAGTATGCACTTCAATATAAGTCACTCAACGATCAAAACAACCTTTTGAAGAAAAAACAATATTATCCATTTTTAATAAATACATCTCGATAAATCAAATACTAGTCAAATATCCACCCAATTCTGGTGATGAAGGAGGAAGAAAACTGGACCTCCTCTCCCCGAAAAGAAGTGTTTAGTGTCACTAAATAATTTAATGAATATTTTCTCCAAACCCTGAAACCTAAATCCTATTGAAGGAGCCCGACTTATTCTTCATATTTTTAATGAAAAGGTCCTCCAGAAAAGAATAAATACTTCTGTTTTTTTAATACAAGTATGACTGCTTCTGTACACTATTAAAAATATATAGGAAAACACACACACCAGCGACCATTACCATCTATTGCGAAACGGGCTAATCTGGAAGCTCCCATTCTTTTAAACAAAGGATCCTTGACATGCAGAAGTGACACAGACTGCTGCATCAAATTATCTCCTTTAAAGGTCAAATATTAGAATATTGTCAGATAAAACCAGAAAGGCATTAACTTGAAGTAAAATCAACTAATTGGTTCGAGTCTATAATAATATGCATACCCAAGTATGGAAAGAACTGGTAACCAACAACTGTTGCCGTCCCAGCAAAGATCAATTTCAACACCCATCCTATTTTTCTTTCAGCCTCCTGTTCTAGGGATCGCTCATCTGGAAAGCAACGTAAGGCACACACAAAGAACTTGTCAGCAGTGGACAAAAAGAGCAACATAGCTGGGAAAACAAGTGTTTGTCCCAATAATATCAGGATTACATATATTTTTTGCTTGCTCATGATAGGAGAGAAAAAAATACGAATACCTCATATATTGAAAAGATACATCAACTATTTTTGGTACAGCAAAACAATATATATGTATCCGACTTAAAATACATAAATGAAAACATTCAAGCTAATATTCCACAAGCAAGTAACTGATAACGGAAAATCATCTGTCCTGATAGGCTACACACTGGCTTTTGTCAGCATTTTTCTGTTGACAAATTAAACTTTAATTGTAGTGTTGACTATATCTCATTGCTCTCTAACCCTTACAATGCTTCGATGGGTACGTGGAAACCCTTAGAAACTCATAAGTATGTGCAACATAAATCTCTTAGAAACTCAAGGATTCCATTTCCATTTTAATGACCTTTTAAAGCTAAAAATGCTTAGGTGCAAGGATTCTAGTGAAGGCAACTGTCATGATTTCTATAACCGTTCGCTACAATTTCAGGCAAAATACCCATTCAAGGTCAAGAATTTGAAAGTAAAATTAAATAAATAAATAAACTTAATTTTTGATAGCAAGTTCAAATATGCATTTTGATGCTTAGTTTCTTTTAAGTTTTGAACCATGTAAATTCATTGGCATATTAGCGTGTTTGATGCTGCTTTAGAGATCTATGATTTCTTCTTTGGCTCAACTATATAGAGATAGGTTTTTTTTTTTTCAATTACCTGGATTTTTCGCTGCAGTGCAAAAAAGGAAGAACTTGCAAAGAAGTTTATATATAAAACACAGAATCTAGAGAGGGCCAGCCAATAAAAGCTCGATAATACTACTAATAACAAAGAAAAAGAAAAAGAAAAATAAAAAAGTAAGCACGAAGTAAATCAAAAATGAAATGACCTCTTCCATGGTATGATGAACAGAAATTTCGAGATTGTGCACTCACTGGTTTTCTTCCGCAAAAATACTGCGTTCGAACAGTCACCACAACAACAACAAAAATTACATCAAATTAACAAATCAAAACAATTAAAAGGGGATGATAGTTCGATTGAAGCAAATCGAGGAATCATGAAACACACAGACCCAAAATATATAAATGGGTGTATATATATAGTAACAGACAACTAGGGTTTTGCAGAACTCTAATTGATGAAAGAAAGGTATGGGGAGAGAGAAGAGCCGAAGGGGAAGGCGCTTACAGTGGTAAGCTGTGACGCTAATGCACGCATCGTGCAAATGAGGACTGTGAAGCTTTCCTATGATGTTAACAAAGAAGCTCGGGAACGGGTATTGGATCGGATCTGGATCTGAAGCGAGGCATCATGAAGTGTTGAAAACTTAAACGAACTTGTAGCAAAAAATTTTACCCGGGGCCAAAATCCTAGAAAGTGCAAGAAAATTAAAAAAAAAAAATCAAATTTTCTTTTGTTTGATTAATTAGGAAGTAGAATTTTACAAGATATTTTTTTTTGCAAATGTCAAATTTTCCAATTAACATCTACTTTGATTTTCATAAATTATGCGAGAAAATATTTATTTTCCGTGAAAATTGTCTTATTTTTCTTGTTTTACTCGCTTACTCTTTTTTTTATTAGATTGATATGATAAAGATAATTTAGTACTTGTACCAATTTTTCTATATTTATCTAACAAACCTTTTATTCTAATCAAACGAATATAAGACAATAAATTTTCCTTTTTATTTCTTTTCTTTTCACTTTCTACCTTTTTTATTTTTCATTGTCAATTTCTTTCTAACCAAACGTAGTGGTTCATTGAATCTGGCATCTAATAATTCTTGAGATATGAGGTTTAATACTCCTCCTACCTCTTAAAAAAGTTATTCACTCTTGTTCCTCATGAGACATATTCTAGATCCTCGAGACTATGATAGCTAATATTCGACCTCAACAGAATAGTCGATACAAAAAAATATATGTTTAAAAATACAGAAAGTGTTCAAAGAGAGGGATTATTCGCATTTTCTTCCCTAAAAAATGTAAAAAATCTAAATTATACCTCAGACTTCTCCATTGCACCCTCATTTTTTTTTATTTTGCTTCTATTTACACATTTTTTTTCAATTTGCACTCTTAATTGAAAATTTAGAGCAATCAAGATTGAATACTGGAACAAATTTTAAAAAAGCGCAAATTATAACAAAAAATTAAAAATTGAGCAGTTAAAAACTGAAGGACGGGCAGGCGTTCAACGTGAAAACTTTAAATGAGGAAGAAATTTATATTTTAAAAATTGGAAAAATGATCGTAACATATCTTATATTCTTTCTTTTTCCTTTTTTACATAGAAAAGTCTGGATCACATCACATATACTTCAAGCATGATAATTTGTATTACATGATAAAACAAAGAAAAACTTCCCCAAACCAAACCCCCCCCCCCCCCAAAAAAAAAAAAAAAGAAAAAAAGAAGTCTAAACTTAACGAAAAATTATTGTCATGTGATGAATACTAATTATAAATTTAAATATATTGAATTCGAATCTTAATTCCAGTGTAAATAATATACATTTAATCAGACTAAAAAAGAAATTAATCGAAAAACACGTACACTAAATCTAACATTCCTGACCGTTTGACCAAAAAAAAAAAGTACTAAAATCAATTGGAACACAATATAGCCCACGTAGTCATTTCATTTTCAGTGAGAGAAGAGTTTAAGGCTGAACTCATGCATGGCGGGGGGTGGTAATTACAACCAACCAAAAGTGGTGGTGGGCCGGGTGGCGGTAGGGTGGTGCCCCTTCTTCACGAGAAAATTCAGTTAAAATCGCTCTTTACTTGCACCTGCACATATTGAAGTATTGGGGAGTAATTTAGCAATAAACTTGCGCAACTACCATCACTCGGCCTCTGCTGTAGATTTCTAAGATTACCTTGAAAAATCCCTTGCATTGGCATGCAAATCCTAGACATGGAACATTGGTGTTTACCTTAAGGTTACAGACATTTAAGAGCTGAAATGTGTCACTAAAATGTAACTGTTTAACGCAGGTGTAATTCTAGAGATTGTGAGGGTAACATTTTCTGGATGCATAGGCGATCCATCTCAAACGATACAGGAACAAAAAACTATAAAACTAGCAGTGTAAATTTGGAGCAACACTACCAGTTATTAACTAGTACTGCTCTACCCAATAGTCACCATCAAAACAAAACTAGTACTACCAGAGACTTGTGGACGTTTTCCTGTAAATAAAAATATGCTTACAGATACCATTTGCCCCCATTATCCCACCCTTGAACACTAGGCAAAGTTGCAATATTTGTGGAGCTGAGAATTGGAAATCATATATAGACTTGGTAAACATGAAGCAGAGACAGATCTTCTAGGTCAGTAAAAAAGGCACGTTAACTGCTGCCAATATAGCTCGTGAACTTGAGTGTCATCGCATAGAGGCAATCCTGAATCTGGACACTGAAAACTAAGCAGCCAAGGTCAAAATTCCAGAGATGACCCTATTTCCTGCACAATTACACCACCATATGCCATACCATCAATAAATATACATTGAATAACACGCATGCAAACACAGATCCAAATAAAGAGCGACCCCCCCACCCCCCCAAAAAAAAAAATCATCTTTTTCCCTTTTCTGTATCCCTTGGGGAAGATATTCCTAATTTCTAACCAATTCTGCCAGCCATTCCAACCAAATGGCAAGTGGAACTATCTTTATTAACTCCCTAGGTTGGTTCATTTCAGAAACCTTTTGATAACTCTGCACAACATGCACTATTCATTGTTCATTAAAATTGAACGGCCTGCAAGATGATAGAAGCCTAGTTCATGTTGTGCGGAGAAAAAAGTTACAACATTGGGAGACATGGACCATTTGCTTGACAGATCATGATATGATTGAAGTTGAAGAAAAATAATGAAGAAGATTTAATGCAGATTCAGAAAATTTATAGAGGCCTCTAGATTTTCTACGTTAAGTTAAATCTTGAGAATTAACTACACGTGGTTTTTGTGATTATAGTTGTCCAAAATGAATTTTGCAATAACACAGTATTTCTCAATTTCCATCTAGGAGAAATATAACTAAACACTTCAAATTTCATAAGAATTAAACACTCCATTAGCAAATCTGCAATACAGGTAGTCATATTACAGAGTTGAAAAATGGAAGAGCAATTCAACGAACCTGCAGCTCTTAGATGTTGGGACAATCAATCCTCTTTTCTCCAAGCTCTTAAAGCGGTCCCTTGCAAGGGTGCAACATCCCTTTTTGAAATTAAAGAAAACAGTGAACTTCAATGCTTAAGTTCTTAACATAAAACACTAAACTGTATACCCAATTCTAAAACTTGTTTACAGAGGGAAAACAATAAATAAAATGGCAAACCTTCAGCTTACGGAGGGAACCAGTGATTTCTTCAGATAACAGGACTTGAAGAGGGGCAGGCTGAAATCTGGAAACAAAAATCCAGTTAATGATCTCGTTGCTAAAAATCATAATTGCGGTGAAACTAAGAACCGATAACAAAATCGGTAATAGTTTCCATTCAAAAAGAGACAGGTGGCACCTTATTTTCAGCCCACACCATATGGAATCACCAAAAATCTCAATTTAAATGAGATGGTATGAATGCATGTAATCTAAGTATCTCATAAGTGAAGTTTTAAAACTAAATGCAATAGGATTACCTTTTCACATCGAAACCAAAAACTGAAAACATGACTATTTATATTTGGAATTGAACCATTTCAATATCAAAACAATTGAAAAAAAAGTTATTTATCTTATACATTTTGTGAGAACTATACATACTTGTGCTTCCCCAGTCGTGGTGGACGAGATCTCAATCTTTCTTGTTTAGCAACAATACGGCGAAGGTGTCTTTTATGCTTCTCATCATCCTCCTTGGCTATTTCTTGGACTATATCTGGTAAGCTGTATAGCCAGGAGATTGACTCATCATTCAGAAAGAAAACAAAAGTAAAAGGAAAAAAGAAAAGAAAAGGCAAAATTCCTTCAACTGAAAGGAATACTTATAAAAGCAGATGCATTGGTTTACCTATCAATTTCTTTGGACAATTCCTCCACTTTTTTTGCTTCTGCTTCTGCCCTCAACTGTTCTTTACGTCTAGCCCTCCTATTCAGCTCCACCCGATTTACCCTTTTGATTTTATTGGGCCTGTAGAATTATTAATAACAAAGTATGAAACTCACATGCCAAGTGCTGTACAAAATTGAAACGTCATCTCTAGCATTCATGAGATTACTATCAACCAAATATGCAGGCCACATTCAGGCTTAAGAAACTTACTACCCAGGCTGAGCCAGGCCAAGCTGTCTATCAAGGTTCGTAATATCGGCTGAGTCAAATACCACTTGGCCAAGTCACCGAGTTGTATCCAACTCAGCCATCACCGATCCGATACCACTACACGGTACGCTAATAACACGACTCAAGCAAATCGGCGTTGACTCAGTCACGACTCGGAGATATCAGTTGAAATCGGAGTGGTATAGTTTAAGACGGACTGAGTCATCAACAGATCAATGTAAAATACCAGAAAAAAAAAAAGAAGGGGAGGAGAAGAAGACCAATTCCACATGCAGATTCATAGGCCCAAAGATGCAGTAACCAAAGTAGAAGAAATCAACAAACCCTAAAACAGAAATTAAAAGGATTTGCAGAAAAACCTGTAGATCCTGTGCATACAGCGAACCAAATCCAGTCCAGTCCACCCAAAGTCTCCCTCTCTCATTCTCTGTCTCTCTCGCTCTCGTTTTGCGCCTCTCTCTTTCTCACGCTCTCATTTTGCCTCTCTCTCTTTCTCGCTCTCTCGTTTCGTTCATCGTTGCCTGAGTAAGAGCGACTGTAGATACTGTACATATACTTTTTTCCTTTTTTTTTGGTTTAGTCAGAACCTCTCTTGTAATATTAATTACACTTACAACCCCTCTTTTTTCTTTCTCCTTCAAACGACAAAAAGGCTCGAAAAATATATATATATTTTTTTGGTTTTTTTTTTTGTCCCTCTCCAATGGTCCCAATGCTTTTGCATATGTTTCCTTTGTACATTGCTCATAAATGATGACAAATTTTTTTTGTAGTGCCTTTATTTTTCTTTTTTTGTAATGATTAATATGTTAAATAATGTATTTTGGGAATATGATGTATGGATGATGATATTTACATTTATTACAATTTTTCTTGATTTTTTTCAAAAAAAATTTGAGCCTTCTACGTAGCGTTTTGAGCGTATCGGCCAATACTGCGCCACGACGCTGCAACCGATGTGTCACAGTGGCCTTTGAGTCGAGGTCTGATACCGTGACTTTGAACCATGCCGTCTATAGAAAATCTGAACCAGGACTACATCTAAATGGCCATCAGAAAACCACATTACATGGACTAGTATTCATAATGTGAGATTGTTTGTTATGTCAAAGTTTCCAAATCTTAGGAGAGTGATATAGATGTACTTTTGAAGTATATCACACTGGTCTCATGTATCCAAGGGTTCTCCAGGCATATATGTATAATTTGATGATTGTTTCCAACATCAGAATTGTGTTGTATATGCTATATCCATAGAGAGGATGTGATAAATAAGGCAGCCTTTGGAACTTCTGATTAACAAGGAATTCCCCTATTCCTCTATCAGACTTCAAAAGGTGGTGCATTAGCAGCATACACCATGTAGCCATGCCCATAAACAATGTAATTTCGTCTCCACAATATTTAGTCAATACATAAAATGTGCCCAGGTGCGATGGCTGACCACACATGGTTGTTTTGGTGCCCAAACATGCACTGTGGCAAGCATCAATTTCCCAGATTTTTAACCCACAACCACACTTGTTAAGCCTTGCTCTTAATGCACAACTAAACAGATGTTAGTAAGAGGCTAAAAGTTGGGAGGCCTAACCAAGCTTGCCAAAAGCCATTCATCATAATACAAATAATGAAATGAAAAAAACCTCAAAAGCTGCATGCACTAGCAAACTAGTCAATCCAAACACTTGATTGAAGGCCATAAGAACCATATTTCATGAATTTCATGTAATGAATGCATATGTGGCAATAAACAAAGTCAATAGCAGTAGTGAGTAATTAACAAAATAAAGCAGACCTCTTCTCAAGTTCTGTATCTCCATTCTCCTCCTGATTCTCATTTTGATCATCATCACTCCCATTGTCCGCCTCAAGGAAATACTTCTGCAACAGTTTGTTAGTGTTAAGTTTTGCAAGCAGCATATGGCAAATGAAGTACATTGCAGTACATTCAGGGAAGAGTCTGAGCAATTATTTGATGAACATCTCCAAAGATACTCACATCATCTTCATCAATAGCCTCTCCAGGAACAGTTAATGGGACTGGCTGAGGCCCCAACTCATTTTGATAAATTTTCTGCATCTCATCAGCAACAGCACACGCTAGTGAATCCTGGATTGACAAGAAATACCAAAAAGTACAAAGTTACATTTAGCAACCACCCACAGACAAACAAAGAATTATCATATATCAAAAAGCAACCTGATGACTTTCGAAGGAGGGATTGAACGAGCATCCAGAAGGCTCAACTTCTACAGCAGGAATAATTGAAGGCCTGGATGTCTGTCAAAAACCATCATAATGAATCCATAGCAGATGATATTAAAAAGAAAAAAAAAAAAATCCAGCAGAAACTTTGAAATGCACTGGCACAACATATACATAAGCCATAGAATATTCCCTTTGTGATTCGATGGTTGCAAATGAACAGCTCGCCATGCATTGAGCAAGCCAAATATGAAGCTCGGTAAAAGGAATTTCAATCCTTAAGTAGCATTGAACCAAAAAAAGCAATTTTTTTTCTTTACACCAAAAGAAAGACATGAGACACAAGAGTCAAGAAGCAATGCCATAATATCAAGAAATGGATTTACCTTTTTGGTTTTGATGTTAGGTTCACCTGCAAGAATGTAAAAAGAGGTTTTGCAATAAAAATCATCTCATCATACAAAACTATGAAGATTATCAATGTCTGAAGATACCTTTATTATCCCATATATCAACCATGCCAGAATTCAGGACAGTACCATCCTGAAGGATTTCAAAAGGAAATAGATTGGTATCACATCAGAATCACATTACAAGCCAATTTCCATATTCATTTGAAAAAATTCTTCAAGTAAGATGCTCACCTCTGGACAATCTTGAGAAGCATCTTTCACTATCTGAACCTGTTTATGTTTTTTTTTGGATTTCTTCTGCACTGAGGATGGCACTGGTTGAATAAAGGGGTTCCTCTGTAGCAAACTGTCGCATCGGAGTACTTTTTCTCTGTGTTTATCAATCTTGCGTCTAACAGAAAGATCTGAAACAGTAAAAAATCAATAAAATCCAGTAACTTGCTCTCAAAGAAAGATTGCTAGGTGAACAAACAAGAGAGAGACAGACAGACAGAGAAAGAGATGTGTTAAATAGTTAATCAATCTTCAGCGGCATTACGACTATTCTATAATAGGGTCAGTAGTAGCACTGAAGCACACATTAGAAGTTAAAAAAATGCTTGAGGATCACAAAAATGATCAATAAAGGTTTCTCATAAGAAGCATGGGAAAAGGAGAACCCTATGCCCTAAAAAACAGCTGCTAAAACCTTTTAAATAGAGGAGTTCCCATTAAAGCACCGCCAAATAATTCCTTCTTTAAGATTCCACATACCAAGTACTTGGGTCCTAATTAAATCTTCAATAAAATTGAGACTAGGTCCACATACAATCTTATAATCTTCAAACCAACACGGGAAAGTGGAAACAAATAATCCAAATATAAGATCGGAGTTGATCAATCATGTTTAGTTTCATTGAGGACTGACAAGCACCAGCTTTAAAGAATTAGATGACAGAAAACATAGACTGCTTTGATTTGTTTGCTGAGAACACTAATTGCAATAATTACCCAAGTTCACTCTCCACACTAACTGTTCACGATACAGAAATGATGTGATCTTGTATGCCACACTTTTCAAGGGTATCCGATTGCCAAGTTGAAACTAACAAATCGTGCCAGATGCCCGATATCCAACAGCACATTGATGAGCTCTCACAGCTGACAAATCATACCTAATATCCATAGGTTTCCTCCGGCGTGCCAATACATAAACCCCTTAATTTTGTCGAAAACAAGATTGCTTCTAACCTTCACATCAAGGAATCAAGAACTTCTGAGCTTAGACCCCATCTCATTAACATGAAACAGCAGGTCACAATCAAATTTCCAGCCAAACTAAGACCTCAAAATTCTCAGCTAACCGTCCTCAAACCAATAAAATTGAGGAGAGGAAACGAGTACAACATTGAAATTCTTACACTTCCACAACGTAAGAATATTTTAATCAGCCAAGCATAACTGTTTTATCCTCAATCCGATCTCATTCACCCTTCTACTAATGAGTTTCTAACATGGTAGGGGACACAGTTGAGGAGATCAAAACATAATTTGCTCATTCGCGGAATTTCCTAATTTTATGTTATTTACGACTGTCAATTAATAGATAATGGTGAATTTAGTATTAGTTTTTTTTCTATTCTTATAATTCAAACAATTTCGGAGAAACCAACCATAGTACATGATTTTATCAAAAAGAAACGAGAAACATGAGCTAAAAATTACCTCTGGATTTATCAACAAAGAAGAGGGAGTCGCTAGGAACGCTAGTGAGAGAACCACCAGAAAGAGCGTCTTTGGTTGACTTCTCGAAGTACTCTTCTATGTCCTCCGTGCTTATGTTCGCCCTCCACGCCTTCTTTCCCTTCCTTGAGCTCTTCGCCTTCTTCCCCATCTCTCTCTCGGTTTGCTCTGATTCAGCGCCGGCCCTGGGCATATGGTGTTAAGGCCGCTGCTAGCCCAATTTAATATGTATATTTGGGGTAAAAAAAAAAAATTTAGGACATCTTAGCAATTTCAACTATGACATACGAACTCAACGAGAAATTGATACGAAACTAGCTTAGTTTGAATTTAGTTTTACGGGTGCTAAATAAATAAATTTAATAATTTTTTTAAACAAACGGGTCAACTTTATTAAACACGAAATAAATCTGTTAAACATTATTTATATATAGTACAAATTTAATTATACAAGATTATAAATAGAATAAATATAATTTTTTTTTGTGCCTGAACCCCGAGCTGGCGATGCATGGAGGAATATCATAGAGAATCCTAAAAATATTTTTTATTTAAACTTTTTTCAAAGAATATAAAAGAAATATAAAAAAGAAATATAAGAGAGACATAATATATATATAGTCATAATCCGTGTCTGAAGGCACGATAAAATATAAAATTCGAGCGTCCAAAAAATTGATTTCATTATATTAAATTTTTTTAAAATATATTAACTATAAATTAAATAAATATTAAATAACTAAAATTAAATATATAATAAAAATGAGTGATGTGATATTTTTAGAGAGAAAATATATAAATGATTAAACATATGATAGAAATAAGTGATGTGATTTGACGTTTGAGACTGACAAAAGGATGATGAGTGAGGTAAGTGATGATGATGATTTTGAGAGAAAAAATATGATTAGGATAAAATTCAAATACACTTTTGTTTTATTATATAGATATTAAAAAACTGTATATTTGCACAAAATATTTTAAAAACACCATAAATATATAAAAATCAACAATATTATAGTCATTAATGATAAAAGAAAAGACCTATAAATAGGTAGGGTTTTTCATTTGTAAGAACTAAGCAACTAAGAGCCAAACAACCAAATCTTACATTAAATTCGAGGCCTTTTTTTGTGTGTGTCCAAGTTTTTATTTAATTATTATTTTTACAATACACAACAAATACACACAAAATATTTGGAGTAGCGTACTATTAAAAGTCTTACTAACATTTATAATTTAAAATTTTATTCTGCCATATTAATAAATTTTAATTCTTTTTTTCTTTATTTGTAATTGATAATAAACTTTATTATATTTTTGTCTTCAAATTCAATTTCAATTAATGAATTATATACGAAAAACTTGACTGTAAAAGTTGAATTTGTATTTTTATATCTCAAAAATAAGAAATTTTTTAAAATAAATAATATTAATATTTAAATAATATTAATATTTAAATAATTATTTTGTCATGGTCTTATCTAATATTTTAGCTCGGGGTCTAAATTTGGGTCAGGTCGCATCTGAGAGAGAGGAATAGAGAGATGTTTGCCATCACCGCGACAGAAGAGAAACAAAGTCAATCCTAACAGAGTTTACAAGACAACATTTTATGTAAGATTATTTTTTTTTTTTTGAACTCCTAACATTTTATGTAAGATGGTAATAAGTATTGTTCGATAAAATTTATTTTTGGAATAATTAAATTTAACTTGTCATCTATATAATAAAATAACTTATAATTCAAATTTTAAAAAATAAACAAAATGACTTTTGTTATTCGTGATTGAGATCGCTTTAAATTTTACTTTAAAGTTAATCTAATGACTAATATTAACACCCTAATTTAATAGGAAAAATAGGTCCCTAAGGGTGTGTTTGAAGTAATTTTTTTTAAATAAGTATTTTTAAAAAAATTAGTGTTTGAAACCGCCCCACCACTACCTCTACCACTATCACTACCTCTACTACTATCACCACTGCCACCGCCACCGCCACCGCCACCATCACTATTATTATCGCCGTCGTTGTTGTCGCCACTGCCACCACCACTATCGACACCACCACTGCCACCGCTGCAGCCACCGCTATTGTCACCACCATTACTGTCGTTGTCACCGCCGCCATCACCATCACTACCACCACCAATATCGTCGCCACCACAATCGTCGTCGCCGCCACCATTACGGTCATTGTCGCCCACCACAATCATCACCTTCTCCTACCACCGCCATTGTCGCCCACCACCTCTTACCCCCTGCTACAACCGATACTTAAATTCATTTATTTCTTATCTATATTTGTGATTTGATTTTAGATATGAATACAAATATATTTATTATTTACTATTTTTTATTTTTCTGTGCCTTCAGACACAAACAATAACTAGTTTTATTATAAAACTAAAAATATTTATCATTCATACTCGTGAAAATTTTAATTGAAACTCATGAAAATTTTAATTGAAACTCGTGATTTTTTGAAAAAAAAAATTGTCGTACTTGTAAATAATATCTCAATTTTTAAAAATAATTTTAAATGTTTTTCAGAAAACTAAATATTTCATATTTATCAATTTAATTATCAAAAATATAATAAAAAAATCATGAAAATATCTTCCAGAAAGGATGATAAAGAGCTAGAAATTTCTTTTCCAATTGGGGAAGGACAAATTTTGTTAATTCATTTTGACTTGTGCTTAACTGACTATTTTCTCCTTGGGTGGGGCTATTTTTCCATCACATTGACCTTCTAAATATCCTTTAAACAAGAGTACTAATCACACCCCCATTATGCCAACATCTACCTACGCCCACTAAACCTATCCAGTAATCCCTTCTCAACCATTACCACAAAAGTCGATCTTGAATAGAATGAATAATTCTCACATTCTTTCTCGATATATAAGATCAAAGCTAAATGATTTGCCTTTAACGTTGACATGATCTACGAAAAGATAGACAACCTCAATTATTGATCTATCAACACAGGTAATGTCTAGATTTCTAAGTTTAAGGGTTTAAAAAAAAACCCTAATTTGTCAAGGATCTTTCAGATTGAAGAACAACAAGTGCATGAAAAAGAAAAAAGAATTACCATAATATCCAAAGCCAAGGACACCACCAGCCTTTTCTCTAGTGTGCCGGTGATTTCTTGCATAATGATGAGATAATAATACCTTGGTTAGCACTTGAGGGTTGCCCTCAAGCTTGAGGATGATGAAAACCTGAGGATCACAGAGAGATGGTAGAAGAGAAGCCGGAGGTGTCTTCAGTGATTCTCCTCTGATGCTAAAGTCAGTTTCTAAAGAGGGAAGAAGACACAGTGCTAAGCGTTGAGTTGTGAGAACTTACCACTTTTTTCTCATCTAAGACTGCTATTTATATTTTTCTGATAGGTAACTGCGCTTTTTGAGGATATTTGTACTATCCCTTTTAGTGGGTCGACCTTTGATTGGCTCACCCTCAAGACAGTAGGGATAGAGATGACAGTGGACCGAAGCGGGGGCGAGGGGTGTAGTCTTCATCCTCATATTCGTTTAAAAAAACTTCGTTTATATCTAGTCCATCCCATCAACAAATATAGTTTTCATCTCTATCCCCCGTCCGCAGGTGAATTTGCAATCCCCGCCCCGTCCCCCGCCTTCACCCCCGCCCCATCCACCTTACTCGCCCTAACCCAAGCCCAAACCCAAGTCCAAGTCCAATCCAATATAATCCAAGATTCTAAATAAATCTAACATTCTAAATAATCCAACATAATTATAGAATATCATAACACAATTAAAAAATTTGTCATCTACGACATAATCCAACATAATATAATTAAAATATTGTCTACAATATCTATATAATAAAATAGCTTACAATTCAAATCTCAAAAGATAAAAAAAATAATTTTTGTTATTCGCGGTTGAGATCACTTTAAATTTTACTTTAAAGTTAATCTAATGACTAATATTAAAATTATAAATTTAATAAGAAAAATAGACTCCTAAAAGTGTGTTTGGAGTGAATTTTTAAAAGTACGTATAAAAATTATTTCTCATAAATATTTTAAAAAAATAGTGTGTGAAACCGCCACACCACTACCTCTACCACCACCGCCGCCACCATCGTCATTGCCACTGCTGTCACCACCACCGCCGCAATTGTCGTCGTCGCCGCCATCACCACCGCCACCACCATTGCTCCCACCACCACTATAGTCATTGCCACCCACTACAACCATCACTGTTTCCTACCATTACCACTGTCGTCCATCACCTTTCACCCCCACTACAACCGATGTTTAAATTCATTTATCTCTATTCTATGTTTGTGATTTGATTTTGGATATTAATACAAATATGTTTATTGTTTATTATTTTTTATTACTTTGTACCTTCAAATACAAACAATAACTAGTAATCCAAAATATATAATTAAAATTTTGTCTCTCATGTAAATCCAACACAACATTATATAACACAACATAATGTAACATAACATAATCCAACATAAAAAAAATATATATAAAAACACAATGATCTACACTTTTACAAGCCAAAAAATTAAAAAAAATAATTTTTAAAAGAAAAAATCATTCAATAATATATAAATTTGTATTCACAGCAACAATTATACATAAATATAATAATAATAACGAATAAAGAGGGGTGGAGCAGGACGGGGGTGAGTGTCAGTCCATTCCCGTTTTCATCCCTGCATGAGTTTATACAGGTATTTTCGCATACGTTCACTGTCTAATACGTATGTCCATCCCAATCTAAACGGGACAGATTTGAACGAATATCCATTTTTAACTGGTCAACTGTCATCCCTAAGTAGGGATGTTCCTTTGACCTCGTCAGATGGTTAGGCATCAAGTAGAGTGTCCCCTCAACCTCGATTCTTTAATAACATTAATCTCTCGGCTTCCAGATACTCGTCGATCATTAATACTCATCCTGAGAATTCATTGTGAGACTTGACGTTTGACAACATGCTTTGCAGGAGTAAATGCTCGACATCACACCGTGCACTAAGAGATTAATGCTCTATCTCCCTACCTCCCGAGCATTAAACATCTCTAAGTCATTTGTCATGTGCTCATGAGAAATATTTATTACATCCTTAAAGGTCTTTCCCATAATTGATTGCAGCGTACTACTCTGTTGAATCTGACAATATGGGATGAAGGACTTGTGCCAACTGACATTTGAGCACAGTCCCTCATAAGACACTCCTTCGTTTATTCCTAGGTGGGCGTTGCCACCAATGCAAAACTATCCAAAGACACATATCTTCCATTACGCCGATTGACGTGGTTGACGTGTAAGGCTAACCGTCTCTAGACCCCTGGTCGGATCTGTGTCAGTGCACTGATCTTCTCGGCATTTATGTCCTTCGGTTTGAATCACAAAGACGGTGCATAAGATAACGCCGAGGAGGTCCTAATGCCTCTTAGGTCCCCTGATGATGTCGAGCAAGCCACACATTGCACCATATCGAGCCATCATTATTTCTGCATTTATTGATAGTGTGCTACATCTCTACTTTTGGTTGGTCTGACAGGCCACGTCCCATCATCCATTATTCACAAACAATTCGGCCAAACCTCTAAAACCTGCCAAAATCAAAAAAAAAACCCTAACCTCCACGACCAAGGACATCTCCAAATTAACCCCAAAAGACTTTATCACTTACAATAAACACACATAATTTTGGTGCCAGTGATGGAGTATTACACTTGTATTGTTGACCTCTTAGGTCGTATGGGCCGTCTTGATGATGCATTGGAGTTTGCAAGAAAAATGCCTCTTGAACCAAATGAAATGGTTTGGCAAGGGCAGTTGGGAGGGTGCAGGATTGATGGCAATGTTGAGTTCGGAGAGCTGCTGAGAAGATTCTTTCCATTCAACCAAAGTATCCTGCCACCTATGTTCTTTTATCCAACACATACATGGAAACAGGAAGGTTCAGAGATGGACTTGGTTTGAGAAATATGATGAAAGAGTAAGGTATTAAGAAGGAGCCAAGGCATAGTTGGATATCGGTGGAAGGTAAAGTACAGAAATTTTATGCAAGAGACAAGCAACACCCGCGAAAAGACGATATATATCTCATGTTAGAAGAGTTAAGGGAGGAAATTAAGGCTATAGGTTATATCCCAGATTTGAGTGACGCATTACTAGATCATGATTGAAAGAGAGAAATTCAGATAGAACTTGTGAAAGCTTGTAACATGACTGTCTGTATTGAGGATCATTTTCTATGGCAAATAATTTAACAGGCCACATTTTGTGATTGTGTTCAAGTCCCATGGCTAACTCTTTATTTCCAACACCTTCCTTTTTGAATTGAGATCAGCCAAACACCTAAAAAGCGAGGAACTCGAGGAAAGATATGCTAGGTTGATGTTAATGGCTGATTGCCTAGTTCCATAGAAAAACAGCTTAGTGCAATACAATTGGTTTCCACCAATGTAGACTTGGGAAAGATTAGATATATGCCGTCTTATTTTTGATGCATAGAGACTGTTTTTGTGATGTATAAATCAAAATAGAGTGACTTCATCACTAGGTCTGTATAAAATATTTTGTTATTTACTTGTTTATTGTTTTGGTTTCTACGGACCTTTCACCTTGTAATTGTCTCTCTGAAATTCGAAGAGCTTCATTGATGACTTATACAAGCTAAAAGCTGTGTTTATGTAAATGGCTTCTTGACGTTTCATTTGGGGTATTGATTGGCTCACAAAGCTGATGTGATAAAATTGTTTGTATCAATATGAGACAAATAGAAACCAATCACATTTCTTCTTGTGGATGAAAGAGAGCCCATTAGACGTGTCTAAGACAAGTTTCTTGCTTATCTGTTTAATTTGTATTTTTGCACCTTTTTTCGTTATATCATCACATACGGATGGAGCATCACGTCTCCATCGATGGACAAATATTTCATTTTTTTTTAATAAAAAAGTCACGATCATTTCTTTGGCCAGATAATATTTAAGTGGACTTGCTTCAATCATGAGAAAAATAAAAAAAACAAGTTGCATCAACGCGTTAAATTCACAACTTATTTCATTTTGTATACGCCAAACAAACGCAACATAAAACGTAGCGAGATGAATTGTTAGGTGTGAAAATTATTTAAGATGATAGATTATTGACCAATACTTAATTGAGACTTACTATATGTAAACATAGTAATACACAGTAAGGGTCTCCCACCAATCCACGGGTTTTGATTTGTTATTGAGGAACTTTGAGAAAAAGTAGATGAAAAAGATATGTAGATTTGACCTCATTCTATAAATTTTTTCTTAACTTCTCTCTCAATGAGGGTGAGAAACTCACTCATATATGGTCATTTTCATGTGAATTACTATAATCGAACAAATTTAGAGAAAAATATGTTGGAGGAGATCTAGATCTATCTATCGAGATCCATACGAAAGAAAAAAAGCAACATTTAATTTTTTTAGAGCCATAATATCTGAAACACCCAAAACCTGATGCATATAAATGATTAGACTATGATGATACTACCTAGTTTACGTGTATCTCAACTAATTCATTTTTTAGTTTGGTTAAATGTAGATTATTCACGTTGGGACTAAAGTATTTATGAGGAATAAATTTTTTATGCATGCCCCCAAAGAATTATCCATATCGGAACTTAGGATGTCTTCATAAAAGATTGCCATCGGCATTGGTGAATATTAAATTTTGGACTGTAACTCCACATGAAAGGAATATATTTAAGGAAGGACACAGCTCACAACTCACAAGTATAGATTGGCTGGAGAAACACTACCCTAGAATCCTATATATGAACCCTAGGAAGATGAGCAACGTTAAATGGGAAGACAAGAGACAAGGTTAAATAGAGCAGAGGGTATGTATATAGCTAGGGAGTGTATTGTTTTGTTGTAATGATTAATGGGCACACATGTGAATAAGTGTAGGTACGTGATTTGTCCATATGGAATGGAGACAACGTTGGAAGAAGCTGGCCATGCTAAGTTACACATAACCAGCAGATACACACACACACACACATATAAATATATATACATACTCAGACACACTAATTTATTTATTTATTTATTTTCTGGGTCAGATCACACACACACACACATAAGATCTCGTGATACCACAAAATTCCATTGATTGAGTTTTGTAATACCCACTGGGGGCCAGCTAGTTTTTGTTGCAGAAAAGGGTCATGGTTTATTCAAGGTTTTTCTTCAACAACCATTAAATTAGTTGCTTCTTGCAATTAAGGGCCTATTTCACATGCATTCAATGATTTGTAAGGGATTGGTCCCATGAATACACATCACCTCAAAGGGATGTCTCATTCATTATTAAACCTTGCTGCAAATAATGCATCATCTCATCCCTGATAATTCATTTGAGGAGAGCTTTAGACGGCGTATGCTCTGAAGGATTATAACTCATAAGAGTGTTGTTAAAAGCAAAATACTGATAGAGATATGATAGAATCTAAAAAAATCTATCACTATGTACATAGTTTAGATAAGTATATATAAATGATAACTGTACGTATTAATATTTTTCTTATGTTTCTGACCCAATAAATAGAGTTGAGTAGAGTCTTATTTAAACAAATATCAGTGATAAATATGAATGGATTTTATTGGACAATTGGTCCATGATGTGCAAAACCACGTATATCCTCGATGTTTTGTAGCATAAATTTCTTCATATAACTCCGAGCTAGCAGCAGAATTGGTCTCTTCTGGCATGTAAAAACTATACATTTTGCTTGTTTTAGAGTATTTGGGGACAAATCTTCATTAAAAATGTGCAATCTCCTAATCTAATAAAATTTCTTAGATTCTCCATTTCTTCCTTTTCGAGGAAACAGTTCTTACTTTACCACATGTGAAAAGTCACCTGGCAAGAGTATATATATAGATACAGGGTTTTGGAGTTAAATAACACGAGATCAGTTCACTTCCTCACGGTAAATAGTCACCAACGACCTGTTGCTCAGTGGTAAGGACTCGGATTTCTTTACTCAATTTTTGAGTTTGAGTGTCTATAACTATGGCAGCTTGTTGAGGTAATTCTACTCTTCAACGCCCATGATAAGTGACGAGACCTTAACTTTAGTTTCAACGTAATTGCAGTGGGGTCCTAAGCAGATAGATGTATAGTGTTAAAAGATAATATTTTCTAACGAATATGTGTGGAGTGACCAATTTGCATATCCATTTGCTATAAAAAAAAAAAAAAAAAAGGTAAATAGTAATCATAAGTCAGCGTTCTGCATTAAATGAAAGTAGGGTTTAGATGAAATTTGTCTTAAAATGAGGAAGTTAAGTTGGTGTAGATGGTAGAATCAAGAATGGCACGTGTAGAAAGAGAGGGGAAGAGAGAAGACAAAAAGCTGACGGCTGTTTAGAGAGAAAGAGAGAGAAAGAGCTCCAAACTCCCCGTGAGGGGTGTTTGGAGGCATCCAAAATCACAACCAAACGTCCATTTTTAACATTTCCTTCACTGCTTTCGATAAGAACTCTGTTTGTGTGTGTGTGTGTGTTTCACCCATCCAGTCCAAGCCATGATCACGAGCCCATGATTCCTCCCCATTTTATTATATAGTCATTCCAGTCCCCCTTGTGTACTTGCTATCAAAAGGGAACAAAATTTTTTTTTAAAAAAAATGAAAAAGAAAATATCAACTCTCGTATCTTTTCATTTTACTCCATTGCCCTTCCAAACTATGTTAATTATCTTTGTTCTTTAGAAGTTAGAGTAAAGGTTAGACTGAAATGATCACATGCACTCATCGACCCAAATAATATATATATATATATATATAAAAATTTAATATTCTATACACTGAAAACTTAGTACTGATGGAATTTATATTCTGGTTATTGAATCATAAGTTATATGCTTTGGAGGAAGCTTGTGCAGTTACCCTCCAATATATTAGATAGAGAAGATTACCTTGTCCATTGTAACAAACATGCATAAACCCTCATATTTTCTTGTATTTGTATTATGCGTCAATCTTTTTATTACTCTACTCTTGCTACTTTCACCAAGGATTCCCGCTAAGTATACATAGTTGAATAGTTTAAGCAATGCCCACCTCATAATTGATGAATTCGTAAGTCTGCCAATGGCAATCACCCCAAAGCAATTTGCGAGGTCAATTGCTACGGGGAAACATATTTATGACAAGGAACCCAATTTTGCCTCAAACCTTATACGGTTGATGTTTATCTCCAACATATTTGAAAAGTTTTTACCTACATACTCATTGGATTTAGTTGGCATTTGTTTCAACAGTATTCCCCGTCTTGTAAAGACTTTGTCTTCTTGAAGTTAAGGGTTCAAGCTCCCTATCCCTCCCCCTCCCCCAAAAAAAAAAAGTTGCCACCAATAGAGTCTAGCTATCTACAAAAGTTCAAATAGAAATCCACAAAGAAACAATCCCATTGGCCAAGACACAGTTTGAGTATGAAAAATCAATCTGCCTGAAATGTTGTAAGGCTCCTACCCACTTATCTCTTCCAGAACTTCTTATGGAAGGGTGGATTGTGCATTAATTAGTGTGTGTTTTTTTCAGAAAAAAAATATAATCTTTGCTAAGGTCAATACCACTTTGTTTCAGTAGGAAGGAAGATATTGTGAGTTTGTTTAGTGGATACAACATTTGATTCAAAGGAGGATCCACGGTGACTTAATGACTCCACAACCAGCCGTTAGATCATTAGGTTGCGGGTTTGAATTTCACCAGACCCTCCCCGTAAGAGTTTCAAATAACATTTGATTCAAATAGGCACATATATACAAATAGCATAATTAGTTTTTGCTGCTAAATTTGTAACTAAAGTTCAGAACCTTGCTTCACCAGGGCAATTTTGTAGTTTCACATGACTACATTCATATTGTGTTTTTGGTGTTTTGTTGGTGATCAGAAACTGAGGCAGTCATGTGTGGGAAACAAACAAGCGATCATATATTCATTTTGAGAGCTCTTCCTATTTTTAAAGAGCTTCAGAGAGCCGAGCCTGCAGATTGAAAGATCGAGAGGAAAAAGAGTTAGGGATAGAGAAAGGAATCTGAAAGATAAAAAAGAACGAAACCATGGTTTCTGGGGAGCACAAGAGAGCCGCCCTTCATGAGAAGCTGCAACTTCTTCGATCCATTACTAACTCTCATGCAGTAATTCCCTCAATTCCTCACGGATTTAGTTTCATAATCCTTGGCTTTCCTATACCATGGGGGAGTATATATATGTGTATATGTATAACACACACACACACACATATATATCTTTATATATCATCCATATAAATAGAGATTATATTTGAATCCCTCTCATCTCGATTGTAGTTTTTTTTGTCAAAGTAATTCTTGAATTTTGTCTCTAAGCTTATTCTTGCTGTTGTCTTTCAGAACTCTCTCTCTCTCTCTCTCTCTCTCTCTCCCCCCCATATATGTCTATCTATGTAGAAAGAGAACTAGGAAAGAGTAGAACCTGATGGGTAAGCATGCATTTCTATATGAGATGCACTTGAAGCTGAAGCTCTTGCACTCTGGGAAGCTTTATTTAACAAGATAGTTGAGTTTTTTGTTCAGTACTTCAAGTTTGATGTGTAAATGAGGCAGAAAATGAACCAAAATAATTTTGCTACAAAAAATTCTAATAGAGTTTTGTGTATCTATGACAGAAAAGCGAAACCTCCATCATAATCGATGCATCAAATTATATACAAGAACTGAAGCAGAAAGTTGAGCGACTCAATCAAGAAACAGAAACAGTAAAAAAATCTAGTGAGCAGACGTACTCATGGCCTACGGTATAATCAATACCATCTATGTTTTTTTTTTAACATTAAAACTGCGTATATCTGATATTTCCAAATCTTGCATACCGTTCTTTTAACTTGGTAATGGTAATTGATCCGAGTTTCATCTTGTTTGTGGATTGTAGCAGCTTACGGTGGAAACCCTAGAAAAGGGGTTTTTAGTGAACGTTTTCTCAGACAAAAACTGCCCCGGTCTGCTAGTCTTTATATTGGAAGCTTTTGAAGAACTGGGTCTTAATGTAATGGAAGCTAGGGTTTCTTGTTCAGCTAGCTTCCAGCTAGAAGCACTTGGAGGAGCAGTAAGAGAATGAAGTCCCTCTCCTTTTTACATGCACAAACACTTAAGAGTAACTTTATTTCTCTAATTTGCGAATCTAATCCTTCGATTCCAATAATACATATAAGGTCTATTGCCATTTAGAGAGAATAAATGAAATTGACAAATTAGATCACAAGATTTGATTTAGAAGCCATTACGCCCACATAGTGACACCTTCATATGCCACTATGCTAACACAAATATTATATCATGTACCAATATACCTTTGACTCAATAGTACCTTTTGTTTTCTTGAGGTCAAATGTTCAAATTCTTTAGATAATAAAAATGTGGGTGGTTGGTAGGACGGACCTGATCAATTGCTTGGAAGAACCTTATCCAAGTCTTTGGTATAGACTCGCATCCCAACTGAAACGTAAAGTCTGATTTAACTGTTGTATGGATTAAAAGTCCGATTCATACTCTCAGGGTTTACTCTCACTTTTACTTGGACTTATGAGTTTGACCGATATAAGTGCGATTCTACTCGCCGGGGACATGCCAGGGATTATCAAATTTAATTTTTAACTCCATCTAGTATGTGCGCGCGCGACAAATGCATAAGCTTGGACTTGAATTACAAATCCCTGATAATCTTGTAACTCGTAATAGCAAATGATGGACATTTAATGTTACCAATCACAAATGTATGATATTTAGTTCAATACCTATTTTTTTGGCCTAACTGATTTAATTGTTGTTGCAGAATGAAGAAAATGGAGAAAACATTAATGACCAAGTGGTGAAACAAGCAATTTCGCAGGCTGTCAAGATCTGGAGTGAAATTAGTGAGAAAGACTAAACTATCCTATGCCGAGGCATTTCTCTGATCTTTCTTCATTTTCCCTGTTGTTGGAGTTAGGTCGGTAATGTTGTCAATCAAAGGAATTGGCAAGTCTTCTACAAAGAAGTCTATGAAGGATCAATGATCCCAATTTTAAATCGAAGTCCAAGCAGTACAGTGGGAAACAACTCTGTGAGAGCTACGAAAGTCATTAATTTCATGTAACATCCAAAACAATCGAAAAAATCTCTGGTTAGTGTTGTTTTATGTTGTAGTTATATTGAAAGACTTGCTAAATAAAGTGCATTAGTATAATCATATCTATTCTGTCTTTTGATAGGTGAAGTAATAAAACAACCATCTATTCTAAAAGTTTAAACTGTTATATAAGACGTAACTTAAGTATTTATATTTCAACATGAACCTCTAAGAGTTTAATAAAACAAACACTCTCTTAAAAAACCCACATCGGCCAATGTTGGATCCGAACCACAATAACCTTGGTTGCGAATTGTTTCATCATTGATTTTGTTTTCAGAGGGATAGTTTCAATAGTACAAGAGAAATTAAATGTACAGGCCCTTGTGTGGTGGATATGTTCCTCTCTCTCTCTCTCTCAAGCCACATTTTTTCTAGTTTTGATATCCATGAAGGATGTCCTTGTAATCTGTACAGTTAAGTGAGGGTTCTTGAGTGCAAATGCATCAAACCTAGCAGAGAAAACTATATCCTCCATGTTCCTAACAATGAAGTTCAAGGCAGTCTCCTTCAAAGTCTGGTTCGAACAAGTGTCTGAGATCTCAAGAACATCGAGAACATTCGATGAGCTCAAGGATCCAAGCATATGATGCTCGCAGAACTTTTGTAGGAATGGGATTTCATACTTATCTGCAGCAACTGATAGCAAGTAAACATGTTTTTCCACCTTTTCTTTAGGCAAGTGTCCACTGTAGAGGAACTCCAGGAGAGACTCTAGCTCTTCATAGTCCAATTCAGGGAGTGTTATTGTGTCATTTGGTGGAGCTTTGCATCCATCTGAGTCTAGCATGTTTCTAAAGATATCAGATCTTGCTGCCTGTGAAATATAACATCATATTAACATCATCGGTATGTATTTGGCGCAACGGTAAGATTGTTCTATTGTGATTTGGAGATCACAAGTTGCAGAAACAACCTCTCTACTTGCAAAAATAAGACTACTTACATCTAACATTTCTTAGACCTGCGATGGCGGGTCTCTCGTGTACTAGGTACACCCTTATTAACATCATCATTATGCATGTAGGTTTTTTTTTTTTTTTTTTTTGTGGTGCAAATGAAGAGATACAGTTGATCCTGAAGTATTCAGGAATAGCTTGATTCTTCTTTTTTTTGGTCATAGGAATAACTTGATTTAGGTGCACCCAAATTTGTATTATCTGTAAATATCACATGTTGCCACAGAGAGAGAGAGAGAGAGAGAGAGAGAGAGAGTTACCAGTAATGCTCTATGTGCAGGTATGGAGGGTCCATTATTTCCGGGCTTGATTTGAATATCGGGGTGAATCTGATCTCTAAATGCTGCAACAAACCCACCCAGAAAGCTCAACTTCTCATTCAGTTCCTCTTCCATCTCCTTCATTTCCTTCACCCATTTCAAAGCATTTGCAAATCCCTAAAGAGAAACAATCAATAATATGAAGTAAAGTCCTATTTGAATTAGTCACAAACCCACATAGCAATTTCCTCATCATACACTCCATTTATGAAGAGCATGGAATTAAATTTAGAGTAGATATTACCACAAAGATCGACGATGGTTTTCTTGTGTTATACTTTGGACCACAAACAAACAGTACGTGCTTGTGTGGGGGTGGTGACTTAGTTTGTTGAAGTTATTCATTGACCTAATACATGATTATAGTCATTGCATTGGTACTAAGTTTCAATTAATACTCGAGTCCACTTTAATTCAATAACAACGATTTATTATATTTATATCAATAAATTACGTATAAATAATATTTCTCTAGGCCAAATATGTGGGACAGAGGGAGCTGCTGTGAGTAACTCAAGTGATAAAATATTTGAATTATAAAATTAAATGTACTGAATTCTAATTTTAATAATTGTTAAGACCAGGTCACGAGGGTTACCGACAACATAAAGAGTAAGCCCATGCTCACGTTTTGTACGCTATCAAGGACCACAATTTTAGGCTTTTCATAATGTCCAGCTTTTAAGTTTGTATTACTAAGCCTCGGCAACGGATCAGGTTGGGCTGTGGGTCGGAGCAGCCCGTTTGAAAATCTTTATCCCATCGGAATGTCCCAACGAAGCATTCTTAATGGGCTTTTGGCAGATTGCTCCTTGGACCAACTTGTTAGATTTTCACTCTAGGAGAAATACGCTTTCTTGTTGATTGTTCAAGTGGGCTGCGAGAGAAGGAAATAAAACCCTTGGTAGGGTTAGAGACACCACCATGGAAGAAGGAGTGTAACTCTAAGCCCACACAATAAATATATGTCTAATTTGAGCACTTTAATAGGGGTGTCAAAAAATATAACGCGATTCGTTAATATAACATGAATACCTTTTTTAAGTCATTTATTTTGTAAAAAAGTGGACTCGACACATACAATTAATAAACGAATTGGGTATAAGTGATGTCAATCAAAAGAAAAATACACGATACAATTCGTTTATATATCGATTATTCATGATTCATACATGACACAAATTTGATACAACACGATTGACACGAATTAATAAACTAATCGAATATAGAAAAAATATTTTTTTTGACAAAAACTCGTTAAAACACGATATGTAATCGTCTAACGTGATACAAATGACAAACTTAACCGCAGGAACAAGCTGGTCAGCCAAGTAGCAACTTCTTATGAGATGAATAGTGTATTGACACCAATCTGTGGGCAGCCGCTTCCTACTTAATCCCATTGAATTTGTTTAATTATATTGTTTTTATTTCAACCAAATAATCAATTCGTTTCAAGCTTCATTCATACGTTTTTTGTTGGTAAATAAACGATTTTTTTACTGATGTGATCATTTCTTGCAGCTTTGCCAACAAATTTTCAATGTCGTGAAAACCAGAAGTTTCTTACAAACTCGTATCATGAAATCTCAAAAACAGCACCTTCTGTCAAACAAGAACAAATCAGAGAAAGACGGTTGTACCTTACAAGAATTCGATGGAGAAACCATGGGGTTACTTGGTTTTTCGACTCCCTTATCATTATCAAGCTTATTCGTCAATGTAATTATGCTTCTGGCTCCCTCGTAGCATGTTCCACATATTGTATTCCTTGGAGGCCTTAATATAAATGGCATCGCACTGCAGATAGAGCAATCCATCTATCCCTTCTAATTAGCCTTTGCATATAACAAACCACACAAAAAACAAACAAGAAGAAGAAGAAAGCGAAGAAGAGGAAGAAGGTCTTTTTTCTTTTGAACTCGATTCTTCCTGTACATAAGATGTTTGCGAAAAGTTCTCTTAGAGTTTATGCCTTGTTGAAGAACTTACAAAACAAGCTACGATGATGATAACTTCTATTTATATATTAAAATTGTGAATAGATGTAATATAATATAAAGGACAAACCCACGCAATTCAGAAAGAAAAATCCTTTGCAGGCTACTCGTATTGTTTATAAATTAAGTAAAGTAACAATAATAGTCTTTCAAGGGCAGATATTTTTTTTTTTTCCAGAAAAAAGGGTGGGGTAAGAGCGTTCAGAGACATCAAGTCTATGACCACGTTTGTTACTTTTCTCAGAAATGAATTTGGCTAGACTAATATAACAGTTAACCACTAAACCTTAATATAGACTTTAAAACTCGAACTTCTAATATATGGATAAAAAGTTTGGTCAGTACCTCACTTGATCACCCCACTCGATAGTTAAGGGTAGGTGTTGGAATGATGGTATCACCATCTTAATATCTTATGCAACCCCTTTTTATTTTTTATTTTTTTGGGGGGGTTTGAAAGATTATTTCTGACTAAATACAAGCAACAAAATTCTCATTTCGAGCACAATAATGTGAATTTAAATAGACCTACTTGTTCAAGTCTAACTCAAATACTGAAAATATATGTCTTACTGATACTTCGATTTGGTTGTATTGACTGGTCTTCCAAAGTTGCACATCAGCCAATTCACCATCCTTCCAACACCCAGAATTGTGTTTAGGTGGAGGAGGTTAGAATTGGGAATATGCAAGAAACTTGCAAAGTAGGTTGGCCATGGCTTTTGAGAGGGTTTAAAGAAGTGCCATAAACAAAAGATTCGTTAGAGAAGAATATAACGAGAAAGTTTGGAAGTGGAAAGAGACTTTCCAACCTCACTACAGCCAATATGTGGTAAGGCAGGCACGTCTCAATTCAAAGTAACCACTTTTCTTTACGTTAACAAAAACAGGCCAACTCCTCTCTCTCTCTCTCTCTCTCTCAGCCTGGCCAATCAACGCTCCCTCTACGATCTCTTTTTTCAGACATAGGGTGTGATTAAACCACCTAAAGTGTTTGTTAGACTGTAGGTCATATTGATTGCTCATGTTTGTAGATACCAAATCATGAGCACGTATGAACCCCTGAAGTGTTTTTTTAAACATGAATTATATATAGTTAAAACCAATGTTAAGAAATTTCGACTGTTTTGTTGGTCAGGCGACACCCGGATTTGCCTCAGGTTTTGTGAAAATAGATGATGGAGAAAGAGGGATAGGCACAGGCACACTCTGTTTTGGGGCCAATAACTAGAAACAGGGCTCCCATTTCCTCAAAAGTCAAAATGGCAAGGCCTGCACACACAATTTTATTCTTTTAGGTTTCATTCCTCTTGTGTACCCTTCTAAGTTTGTTTGTTTTTTTTTTTTTTTTTTCACTTGCTACAAAAACGTGTGTCAAATTAATCATGACTAGGTCTTGCTTAATGCACTCATAAGCTGTGGACAAATGGATTTGTTTAAGCCACCACTTCATTCTTTTTGTCCAAACCATTTGTTTCTTTCTGAAATATTCCCATTTTTAGATTCTCTACACCCATTCCCACCCACGTCACAGGATGCAAATAGGAGTGTTTTTTTTTTTCTCAAGTTTTTACCAACTATTCCGTCGAGCTGTGTAAATAGGACTGATCACCGTGGTTTGAACTGTATAAATAGGATTGTTGAAACCAAGTCAAGTAGCTCTAATTAGGCTCCAACTGGACTCGGTTTTTATCTCGTTCGCATAAAAACTCAAATTGAATATTATCAAATTTGCAAGCTTGTTAAATATTTCAGCCAAGTTTGAGTAACAATTAATGAGGCTCGAGCTTATAATATGATATATAAATATTCAAATTGGTTTAGAGACCCATCTTGCAATCGAGAAATTATAGGTTTGCATCTTTATTGCCATGTATTTACGAATTGGTCAAGTTTATTTTATGAGAGACGTAGATTATCTTTATTATACTTTCATTCAATTTTACTCATTGGTCAATCATCTACGATTAATATACACAAGACCTACTATTTACTAGTGGTCCCTCTCCCATACAATGATAAATTATCTACTATTGAGTGATGGTTTGAAGACAGCAGGAGAATAGTACATGATAAAAGGAAAGCTACCCACACGAATATCCACAATATGACAAATACAAGAGGTACCAATATTAATTATTAGGTAAGGCTAAGAATATGTCCCTCTTACAAAACTCCTTAATATTACTATGCCATCAAACTCCACAGAGCTGTTCTCATTTAGCCATGGTGATCCTATTTTCCGATGCTCCTTTTCCTTCTCCTTCTCCTTCTCCTTCTCCTTTTCCTTCCTCACCGGAACGCTTCTCATAGTAGTGGTACACCGCCGCACCCGAAAGCACAGCCAACGTTAAGGCTTGTGCATGCATCCTGTCCACAAGATGTTCAAAATTTATTCAGGGTTTTCCAGTGCAACAAAATTCAAAATACCCCTTTAATAATTCTCACTGAAACATATTGTATGTATATATACAACCTATTATCTTCAAAAACACCACAGAAGACCAAGAAAACTTAACCTGGCATGTATAAGCCGAAGACTTGGCTTAAGTGGAGATCTTGCCCGAGAATAAGCTAATGAAGCACCAATTGCTGAAGCCCAAAGTGTACCTATAATAACACCCATCTCAGTTCATAAATTCACCAGTGTTTTAACTTGGAGATATAGTACTAGTCAAGTTAACCATAGAGTTGGTTTAGTGGTTGAAGAATAAGCAAGACATAAACATATACATCTTTGGGCTTGAGTCTCATTCAAGACATTAAACTCAGGTTTAATCAATGCACATTATTTACGAGAGATTACGAGTATTTAAGATTTGCGTCGTAACCATAAATCTAAAAACTCTCCGGTTGTCAAAAAAGAAGGCAAGATTAATACTGACCAATGCTGGTGAGCTTGTGTTGTGAGATCCAAGACTGCATGGCCTCCATTTTCCTGTTCTTTCTCTAGACGATTATGAAGTAAACAAGAGTGGTTAAGACTGAATGAAGTGGAAGTGGAAAGCAGAGGGAGGGTTGGTATATATACACAAGGTATAGTTGGTGCGGCCCCTTGGTTTGAATCTTTTTACTTGGAACCATTGGAACTTTTTGAACTTGTAACTGATGAAACTACCGGCTTTGGTTGCCTGGTTTTAGTACTGTCTCTTGTTTAAGATTCGTCTTGTCTCGTCCTAACACTGTGAGCCCTCGGATTTCATCTTGATTGAAGCATTATAACTCAGGGATGCTCAGAGAACTTTACACGTCAATGTGGTGGGAGGTGGTATTGGGACATGATTTTCATGTTCAGTTGTTTTAGGGATTTAAAAAAGGCAAACAATGAATATAGTTCACCCCCCGGTCATAGGGCTGAGTTTGGAAAAGGTGGGTCTGAAAATTTGGTTTGTGCGGGGGGGATGGTGATTACCGAAATTAAGTTTAGTCGTAATGAGTTTGTGAGACCTGTTATATATATGAATTAGCAATTGTCCGTACTTAAAAGTCCGACGTAACAAAAAAAAAAAAATTAAAAGCAAAACATATGCATTAAGAGATTGTATGCCATATAAAATTGTCAAGAAAAAACATTGATAAATATAATATGGGCCCATTATTTTTTTTAAAAAAATTGAGAGAATACAAATCAAAACAATCTCAAACATTGTTCAATGACCGTTTAATTATTGACTGATATCCAAATGGTAGTAAATTTAAAAATTATTGTGGTATGAAAATAATTAAATAAATATGAGATAAAAAGCAAGAAATGAGGATTAAGAGATGAATTACAACATAAAATATAATAAACATCAACAAAACTTAAATCAATTAAAACTAAATTTTTAATACTATCGGGTTAAATTACACTTTTTGTCCTCATAGTATATTGATAGTTTAGAGAATGCTCGTGTCTCTAAATTTAATTTTTTTTTTATTCTTCCAAACAATTACAATTAAATTCTCTCTAAAAATAAGACCCTACAAAAATATGAAGATATGCAAACCTTATCAAGTAAAGATGTTTTTCATATATAATACTTAAACATATTCCAGGAGAGATGACATGTCATCAATGGAAACTAGTCTTAATCAAATTTCCATGATTAAATTCAACTATGCTAGCATTGTCAAATTGAGAAACTCAATATATAAAATTTGAGTCCCATAAAGAATTCAAGTAAAATCCTCAAAAAACACAATTATACAGAATTATTACCACTAATATCATCATTACCATTATTACCACTTAGCCTAAATTTTGATAACTAATCAAATTTTGTGCTCAAATTGAAATTAAATCTAAGCAAGTCAACTATTTAAATTAATTTTGCGGTTTAATTCAAACCAAATTTAATCAACTAAGTTAATTTTATGTTGCACAAATTTGTTCCAAGAGCACCACCCATCCACCACAACTTTGAGATTAACTATCATCATTAAGACCACCATCATTATCACTTTTAAACCTAAAACATATCTTCAGCAACCATCGGTACCGCTTCGAGAAGGCGAGCTTACTTTTAACTACAATTAAAGCCAAATAATGTATCAAATTGACAATAAATCAAATGGACTATAAGACATATTGACAACAAATCAAGTTGAATTTCAGTATACTATAGGAATAGTTTATAACTTGCAAAATTTATGAATGTGCACAAAGCATTAAATTGAAGTCAAGATTTAAAATTTTTTAGAGAGAAAATAATATTTAAAAACATAGACATTATAATCTAAAGAACCTTGAATAGCAGTATGAAAAACTCATTAAACATCGTGCATATACCTCACTGTGGTTCCTGTCATTTTTGCTTTCTTTTGATGCAAACCATTCC